GTCTGACAATACCAGCAAAGCAATTCAGAGATGTAACATTGCTAAAAATGTTGTTAAATTAATAATGTTATCGCACAGCTAAATTACTGTTGCCAAGGCTTAGTAGGTAGCAGAAGTCTAAACGATGAGCAACAATTCCTCTCCAGCTCTGGAACACTTTGGAGGTATTGCAGGGAGCCTTAAAAATTGCAGTATTTCATCCCCAAAAAAACATTTTAAGTCACCTCTATGTGCATGATATCAGGCATTTGGATAACAATTACGATTATCTATGAAATAATGATTCAAACAGGTTACTTTATGAAGTGCATGCTTGTCTGGTGGTAGGGGCTGAGGACAGAGAGGGGAACGCAACATCCCCTGGGGGACAACTTAACATACATTATGCTAAAAAGTTATAGGAATGTTTTCCCTACAAAGCCACACATAAAGTGCCCCCTCCAGCTTTAAAATTAAACTTTCCTAAGCGTTTCCTCCCTTTACATCCCTAGCTGCAGGCAACATAGACAAGACTGAGTGACATCACAGCAAACAACCTGAGAGGTGCTTCTTTATGATCTCTTCCATCTTGATGACCAAGGCCTTCCGAACCTCGAAGTCCTCCTCTGAGATGCCATACTGTGTAGCTGTTTCCAGGACTGCTGCGTCCAAGGCCCTCATCTGGGCAGCAGAGGGGGGGGGGAGGGAACGCAGCTCATTCTCCTCCTGTTTCTCCTGACACGCCAGAAAGAGAAAATGTTAAATACGTGGTGTCTATTTGAAATAAAGCACGTGAATGACGGGATGAGGGACAACACACACTTGGAGGCTCTCATACCATGATGTTCTTCTTGTGTCTCTTCTCCTTGATGTGTTTGTGTGCTCCTTGAATGTTCTCGATGTGCACCGAACAGAGCTTGCATAAGTATTGATAGTTTGGGTACTCGATGGACTTCTGTGAAAACAACGAGAGGCAAAAAGTAATTAGTTTATGCATGTTCTCTTTACATTTTTGGATTTGTCACTGACATATTTATTGATCCAACCTGCTCCTGCAAGGTGGAGATAAAACAAACAAATCCATAGTTCTGGAAAAACAAAGGCTGGTGATGATGAAATTAGACAAATTAGATTGGAAACAATGGAAGGGCTACTTTTCCATTATTTACCTTTTTAACAAAAAGAGCAAGACTTCTTTAGACTCCATCTTTACATTTTCTAGTTCCACCGATTAAGTTCTCCATCTTTTATTTAGTCTCAAGATATAACAGCTGTACCAGAACTTTGGATTAAAAAATAAAAGGCATTTAACATCTCAGATGTTGTTTTTTAAGTAACAAAGCATAACTATGAAGCACTAATGCAGTACATGACATGAGCTGTGTCATGTGATATGTTTCCTGTATATCACATGACATGAGCTGTGTCATGTGATATGTTTCCTGTATATCAGGCTTGACTACATTGTTTCCTCACTTTCAGCAGGCGATGGATGTAGTCTCTGTAGAGGCGCTCCTCTGCCTGTCGGAGGCCCAGCTGTTGCTCTGTCAGGGGCCCTTCTTCAACAGTCGGCCTCACCTCTTCAACAGGCTGATGCATCAACGCAGCAGCTTTCCCCCCTACAAACAACAGAGACAACGTTTAATTCACTAGTATTTAATAAAGAAGGATTCATCCTCTAAGAAAATTAACTGTGAGAACCTACCATAGGACTTTTCCTTTGCTGGAGTTGCACTTGAGCTTCTGGCCTGCTCTGTGAAGTCTTTTTTACGTGTGCCAGGCCCTACAGGAAAGCTGGTTTCTCTGTTTGCCAAGGGGCTGTTGTCTGCAGATAAAGACACATTGGAGTCTGGAGCGTGTGCCACCAGCTTCTGTTGCGAGCCTGGAGCTTTGCCTTTCCCCCTCTCCCCTGAACTTGTTCTTCCAGTCAGTCTCGTTGTCCTGGGGGGCCGTCCTCTCCTCTTGTCCTGGGGAATGTCTGTGAAGGTCTTGCCTGGCCCGCGGCTTCCCTGACTGCCTATATTATGTTCATCCTTTGTAGCAGTGAGGTTTTCTTTGCTGCGGGTTGCAGACTTGGGAGCCTCTTTAATAGACTTCTCAGCAGACGAAGCTTTGGGTCCCCTCGGTTGAGACAGTTTTGTTTTTACTGGACTTTTGGACTCGTCCATCCCTCCTGTCCTGCTGGTGGAGTTAACACCACGCTGAGGACGACGACAGAGGCAGGTCGGCTAAAGCCTTGGTAAGAAAAAGAGAGGAAATTATAGCTATAAGTCTAATTAGCATGAATATATTTGGACAGCATGGCTTGTTTACCAATTCAGGTGATGCTAACGGACCAAATACATGAGTTGATTTAGATTTCACGTGTCTTACTGTGGTTTGTATACATTTGCCTATTATGCCAACAGAAATGAATATAAAAAGAAGAAGAAACGCTCAAATGAAAATTAGGAAAGTATAGGTCTTACAATAAAGATAATATGGCCAACCAAAATGTAAAAAGTTGTGATTGTGTGTTTTGTACAAATGTTTCACAAAGTATTTCTGCATCTACTAAATTGTTATTATTCAAATGGGGGAACAATTGCTTGGAATTTGATTAAATAGTTAGATAATACTGGTATGTTCAATAATAAACCATTGAATTAAAAATCACATACTATTGAATTACATGGTGTGGTTACAATATAACAAAACATGGAAAAATGTAAGTGTTGGTGTCGTCTTTTAATCAGAAGTAATTTCGTGGTTGACAAATATGGAAAAGTTACACCTCACTAACATGACCAACTGTATTTGTGAAAAGCAGTGGGATCTTGGTTAAATAAAATGTTTACAATGTATCTCGTCTATGTGGTTTCTTAAAGTCAGGAAAGCAACGAGTATTAATAATTAAGTTGCACGTTTTATTTATTTTCTATATTAAACATACTTTAAAAAAGTGTTTAGCATAACATTTCTCGCGTTTAACTGACTTTATATCATTAAAGAAGAGCGGCTTTTATCAAAGTAAAACGGCAGAGAGCCATGAACAGAACACATCTCTTTAGCAGACAGGTAATGTTACAGATGTTGTGTTCAAGACAGTTTCCCCTAACTTAGTGTATTCCGTACCAAAACCTTACATGGTCGGTGTTTTAGAGATAAATCCAGGGAAATATTGGGTTATGGTTAGGCTTCTCAAACGTGACTGTTTGGAAAATGGCTAATGTTTATTTCAGGTAGTTCAGGCGAAACGAAACTGATGGGGAGACTGACTTAGATGAACGACGTGACCTAACGTTAGCTGCACTACCAAAACAGAAACGAAAGAGGCGTTCACCACGAAAGCAGCCATTACCGACTAAAAGTAATGCTCACCATTAAAACCAAAAGGCATTTCCTCTGTTATAGGAACGATTCACGGTGACTTCCAGCGGACCCTTTAGCTGTCTTCGTTAAGCTACCGTTAGCTGCCCCCGGTCGTCCGGCTGAGCTAGCTAACGTTAACGGCAGATAAATAACACTGGCACCCAGCTGCCACACAGCAGCGAGTAACTAAACACAGAAAACACCCCCTCGACAAGAACAACACACAGGAGCACGTATTGACTTACTTTCAGGCTCTTAAGTTGATTTTGGATTATTGTTTAGCTGCCTCCATGGTTCTGTTAGACATAATGTTTTTCAAATCCCACGGCCCTGCTCAAAATAGCAACCATTGACGCCATGTTAATACATCACCCCGCTGCATTGTGGGAATGCCAGTAATGATGAAGAGGGGCGTGCTGGGTTCAAATACCGCTCAGAAACTAACAGTAAATACAGCATTTACTTTTCTTGACTTTTTATTTTCTTCCAAATATAAAAATAGGGACAGAAAAATCGTAATTTTTTCCAAATTAGTTGTGGTCCGAGAGCAGCACATTTTGAATGTAGCCTGAATAGAGAATGACACAGGATAACCCAATCATGTCATTTTTATAAAACAACATAGCCTAACTGATCTAAGGTGAATATTATCAGCCTGTTTTCTTTGTTATGGAAATGTGGATTGGACATTGGACTGCCATTTCGTAGTAGTGCTTACTTAGTATACCAGTCTTTAGAAAACAAACTATGTCTTTCTCATTATGTCTTTTCTTTTTACAAACTACAACTATTGCATAATTACTTTCTGCAATTAAAATTGCATGTTTGGAAATGTTGCAGACTTGTTTGTGTTGAAACAAGTATTACATTGTATTGTTCACCACTTCATTCTATGCATCAGTCCTAGTCGATGCATGAACACACAGCTAGTGGTTGAGATTAGGTTTTGTTTCGTATTTTTGGCTTGTGTCCATTTGTTTCATCCCTGAAGAAAAAGTAGGCCATGGCATGCATGCCTTCATTTGCCTAATGAGCTGCGAGTGAAAAGTTGTTGTTAGAGTTCCAGCTCTCTCTATTCAGCACTCCTTCTAAATAAGAGTTCAAAAGAATTATGCAATGATCAGTTTATAATGTTGAGACACTTTGCCAAAAGTAAAAAGTGTACTTTTTCACAATATACAGGGACACTTCAAAAACAAAGTAACACCAATTATTGTTTTTTTGACAAAAAAATGCACATTTAAAGTATTAATTCAATATTTAAATTGTTGTAATTCACACAAACAAAAAATCACTGGAAAAAATCTATGTGGAGTGCATACTTTATTTACAAAAATTCCACCTTACATTGTAATGATATTTGTCATGATATTTGATAAAATGTTAGACTTTTTCTGACTTAAACAACAACAATTCTTTTTACAGTGTTACTGTACGGTTACGGCTGTTACTTCCTTGTGTAAACGATCCAATAAAAATCCTTCAACGAGTCTTTTATTTTGAAAGTCAGCCGGAAGCAGAGCAGGACGTGTTGTACTTCCGGTCTGTAACTTGACCACGGTCCCCAGCAGACAGACCCCTGCAACAGGAGTTTGGAGAAGTTGTTGTGTTGGCACTGCAGTTTGACTAAAATATGCTTCCCGGAGCGCTCGCCGTGCTGCTGACTCTTTTCAGCCTCACTGAGAGCAAACATAAAGACTTTTATACATTTAAAGTAGTCAACAGCAGGGGGAAGTTTGTCTCCCTGGAAAAATACCGGGGTTTGGTAAGTCTTGCTCTGAAAAGATCAATATTATATCGGTACTGTGTAAAGTCTTTGCTCTAATGCTCTCTCTGCATGTCAACCGGTTGCGTTAATGAATGTTGCATGGGAATGTTTTCTTTATTTTTCCCACTAAGCATTTCTTTATTAGATACTAACACACTGCTTCAGCGGATCAGTCTGACTATCCTGCTCGGGATGTCCCATCATGTAGCCCCGCTAGCCTACGTGGCAACAGGCCTGCAGAGCACCTGCAGCTGCAGAGCTCCACACAGCTTTCATTCACTCCAGGTACGGATTAGTACACCGGATCATCTCTAATGATCTCCCTACAATGAAGTGATGTATTACACTGCCTGTCACTACTGTGGATTTTTTAATTTAGACTGTCTGATTCATCAAATGATACAAAACATACGGGGTACACAAATGAGAGCAAATAAATCATACAAATATTGACATAATAATTTGTGGGAAGCATAGTATTTACATCTCTTATAACTAAGGATCAATAAATGTTTGTCTTATCTAATTGTATAGGAAATTACTATATCTTCTATCTGAGTTTATTTTAAACTCATATGAAAAACTTCTAAATGAAAAATTGTACATGAATGAAAATGAAAACATATACTAGAGGGTGATGAACAATGTGTCAACAAATAGTGAAAGTATACTTTGCATATTATTCCCAAACTAATGTGACACAAAATTCTGCCCCTGGGTGCAAACGTGCTACAAGGGCCAAAAACATTTCCATTTGGAGTAACGCACTGCAGCTTCAGAAACGATGCAAATATAAAAACACAAACATCAAGATAAGATGAGGTAAAATAGATCTTTATTAATCCCCTTGGTGAAATGCAGGAGTTTAAAGCAGCAACAGAGTGAAAAACAGGACACTACAGATTCACAGGAGGTTAAAAAAAGGTAATACAAAAATGAAAAATACATTATATAGTAACAGTTAAAACAAGATATCAAAACAAGGTAAAACGTTGATGATTTCAACGAACATATATACACATTTCGGAGTTCGTATTGTTAGATATATTTACATGTAAGTATGCAGATATGACTGCAGGTCAAAGTCATTTGTCATCAAGCGTTGAGGACACTAAATGCACTCTACAAACGAAACACTGCAAATCAAATAACGCTGCATGGGGCTCTTTGCACCTGTCGGCCACCATACTTATTAATATAAAGAATTATTTCATAATACATCAATGAATACAAAATAAATAAATAAAACAGGAGGGAAGAAGATTAACGGTGAAAAACTTGAAGGTTTACCCTGCCCAATGTCCCCAGTTAAATTAACTGATACTTACAGATTCTCACAATTACCATACCTAGGAACTTATACTGTATTTCAAATAATAGCAGTGGTGGAAGAAGTACTCAGATTTTATACCAAAACAAAAGAAGAACATTCAAAAAATTACACTCTTACAAGTATGAGTCCTGCATTTAAAAATCCTATTAAGAAAGTAAAAGTACAAAAGTATTGGCATCAAAATATACTCAAGAATAGTATCAAAAGTGAAAGTACACAGTCAGATATATTTAATTACTCTTATTGATACACTATTGTGTCTATCACAGGTGAATCTAATTTTAAGTACTTTATATACTGCTACTGCATATCTATACCGATACTGATATGTCAATGTGTACTTATTTGTTTATTTTTATTTTTGTATTAGGTAGTTATCTGAACCTGTAAGGTGACAAGATAAATGTAGTGGAGTAAAAAATACAATATTGGCTTCCAAAATGTAGTGGAATAGAAGTATAAGGTAGCATTAAAAGGAAAATAATCAGAGTAAGTACCTCAAAATTATACTTATACGTAAGAACAATACTTGAGTAAATGAACCTAATTAAATTCCAACACAGATACATAGTGTCAGTGGCGTTTTTATATGTACAAAACTGGTGAGGCACGAACAACTTAGATGTGTATAAGCTTCTGGTGCTTTTTTATACACGTAAACAAATAGCTGTAGGCTATCCATGGTTCCGATAGAGGGGGCGAGAAGCCGTGAATGAAGAACACGGAGCAACACTGTCAGCGCATACATTTACGTACACAGCGTGGGGATGTCATATTGTAATGCACCTTAGTACATGGAGTAAAGGGCACCATCACAAAGCAATACTTAACAATAACAACAAGCGTAATGCTTCAGCATTAAAACACCATAGACTGTAAATATAAGATAAACACAGACACTCATCACCGAGGTCACAATATCAATCGATCCAGCCTATAGGCAAAACACAGAAGATCAACAAAAGATATGACATAAAATGAACTTACCAAAGCTGAAGTAGATGGTCAACTTCATTCATTTTCTTTCCGTTTTACTGATTTGAATCGCTATACGCTGCTCTCTCTCGTCTCCTCTTCACAACTAACCTTTTCGCGGACACGTACTTACAGCCAATCAGCTCTGAATTATGAGATGACGTTTTGGTGGGGTTGCCAGCACTTTTCCCCACTGGTGATTATTTTTTTGCCGCACACATTGAATACAAAAAGACTCTGAGTATGTGCAGTGTAGTTTTTACAGCACCCATTCATTTTGACAGCAGAGAGAGGGGCTAGATCAGAGCTTGCCCCACATCGCTCAACACGGCTCAATACGGCTCAATACGGCTCAATAGGCACACTGTAGACACTAATAAGAAGATCGCAGACTAAAACAGCAATGTACAGACAAATCAGATGACTAAACATGATCTTAAAATATATTTTAAGATATATTTTCTTTGCATATTTTTGGAATTATTATTTTAATTACTTTCTGCTGACACTAGGTGGGGCTGTGCCTTCCCCTAATGACGAGTCACCACTGCATAGTGTGTACTTTTGTTGTTTTTGTTGATAGTTTTGGTTGTGTATATTATATTCTGTGTAATGCACATAACTTCATGAGGATATTCATGATAACACTAGATGTCAGCACTAGATGATGGGATGATCAAACTGTCAGTCTGTAGTCCAAATAAAATAATGCATGTGCTTGCTTTTACAGATCGGAGCTGCTCTTGTGATTGACTGTAAGCTGAAGCATGGAGCTGAAACATGTGACACTTATTAACCTGCACTAACACACTCAACTGTTTCTATACTGTGTGCACAGGTCCACTCATGACACTTCACTGTTAAGCCCCTGTGACAGATATATTATCAGAATCTGCTTTTGTGTAAATGGGCTTACATAGACAAAGAAAGATGAATATGTTTTATAAAATAAGCAAAAAATAGTGCTATTATGAAAACAATTTTTAAGACTATTTAAAAAAAAAAAAAAAAAGACAATATTTACACAAAATATAAATATACAAAAACGTAGCAGTAAAATAATAAAATGTAAATATGACCATACTATATTCCAAATTGGAAAGCTACAGACCATAAAAGAGGTTGTGTTGAGCAGAAATGTTTGCATGATTGATGGTAAGGGAAATTCGCAACAAGCACAATAGGGCCAGTCTAATAATATATGAATATTGTAGACTATAAAAAGAGTGCGTGTGTAACATGTACGTGATGATACTTTATAGCGCTCAGGAGTCTAACATTTCTTATGGCATGTTGGAAAAAACTAAATTATACAGTCTTGGTCCGCACAAAGCAGTTTGATATAAAATAGAATATATACTTTGTATTTCTTTGCACTTATGTGACATAAACACAAGCTAACAAAACTAACACATGATGTGAGCATGTTCTGCACACCTGAGGCCTGTACTATGAAGCCGGATTTTCGCTTAGCCGGCTGACTTCAGGGAAAACTCGGGCTTTCCGGTCCTACGACGCTGGTTCTCTTTTTTAGCGGGCTAGATCTCCATGGTAACTTATGCTGAGCGGCTAACCTCCTCGGGAGGAGGTTAGGTTGCAGGCTAAGAGATCAACTCAGTGAAAAGCACCGCCTGCTGACCAATCAGAGCTCCGTGTGCGGAGTTTAAAGCTATCAAGTCATATTACAGGATAGAGGAAATACAGAAAAACTGCCGTTGCAGGAAAGACGGCCGGCAAAAATCAACTGACTGTGTGAACGTGAAAATTAATAGAATATCCCCTCCCATCTTCAGAGCAATCTGACTATTATAACATTAGCGTTAAGAAAGCTTACTTAAATATGTGCCACAACATAAGTAACCGGATCAAAGTAACATTACGTACAGTCCGCGGCACTGTGAGTGCAGACGTCGATGTGTCCCATTATCATTCATATCATATCACATCATAATGTATCATATATTTCCTTATCTGAGTCAGCTTCTTGAGCCGTATCTGGCCGTGCAACACTCACAGTGTCACATACTGTATGCAGAAGTATTATTTTAAGCAACACATTAAGTTGACGAAACACTCGAGTCAAATGTAATTAAAGTCAGATCCACTCGTGTCTTAGACGGGGCAGTGATTTCATAAACCTGTTAATGTACGCATTCAAACACTTTTTCTTTTACCAGCTGTATTCACCTTGCAGGTGCAGCTATGTGGCTTTTATCTTGGATAAAGTGTTTAAGTCATGGATGTTTAAAGTTTAACTTCTTCATATTTGACTAATATTAAAGTTCACTTTTCATTCAGGAAGTATGACGCTGCGCTGTCAGTACGCTTGTCCATGTTTGAGATTGGTGGAATGCTCCAGATACCACCCCTTTCATGTGAACGCGCACCTAACTAGATAGGACACGGCTGGCTTGAGCGATCCACTTGATAACCAGCGTCGTAGTACAGCTTAGCCAGAGCGCGTATGTTTTGGATTGGGCCAACCGGCTAACTCAAACATATCCAGGTTAGGTTAAACCAGCTTCGTAGTACAGGCCTCTGCTCTCTTTTAAGTTTGTAATCAGCTGTATGTTTGTTATTTTGTGACAAGACTGTTACTGTTTCTTGTTACTGTGGCGTTAGGTGTCCCTGGTGGTGAATGTAGCCAGTGAATGTGGCTTCACTGAGGAACACTACAAAGACCTGCAGCAGATCCAGAGGGACTATGGGCCGTATCACTTCAATGTTCTGGCCTTCCCCTGCAACCAGTTTGGGCAGCAGGAGCCCGGGAGCGACAAGGACATTGACAGCTTCGTGCGCAGAGTCTACGGAGTCTCCTTCCCCTTGTTCAGTAAGATAGCTGTTGTCGGAACCGGAGCCAACAATGTCTACAAATATCTCGTCGGTGAGTGAGATGTGCTGTGAGTTTGTTCTTGCATCACATGTATATATTTTCTTTACTTAGCAGCTGAGCCTGAAAGAAAACCAGGTTTATAATAACAGTGGAACCCAGGGCCGGACTGGGACAATAAGTCAGGCCGGGAATTATACACCCAGCCAGGCCACTACCAGTTTTTTTGTGCCATTTTGCTGGATTTATTTGTGAATATTTACAGCGTTGCTGCCCATAGTGATAGTAGTTTGTTGCAGGTCTCCCTTGAAAAAGAGATCAATGATCTCAATGGGATACAACCTGGATAAATAAAGGTTTGAAATGAAATGAAATTAGTTTAAATCTACTACCCAATAAGGGCATGCCCCGGTAAGATATTTTTTTTAAAGTTTGGAGTGCAATTTTGAGGGGGAAATAAAGAGACTAGATCTATGGAAACACCCATATGAAACAGAACTGTATACATTTAAATTATCATAAAATCATAAGAACATGGCCATAACCAATAACATACCATATCCAATATAAATCTTTTTAAAAAAGTTGTTTATTTATTTGTTTTTGGTTCATTTATAGGCTAGTTGTGAGTGTGTCTGGGATCCTGAACCAGCCTCACCTGTCTCCCTTCTCTCCCCCCTGCTCCTTTCCCCCCTGCTCCTCTTTGAGGCAGCAGCAAAGACTAGTTTTAGTTCTCAACAAGTTTTAAAAGTGTTACCTTTTTTCACCTATTTAACATTTGTTTCTTTTTATTCATGCATATTTTACTAATCACTCCCCCCTCAAATGGAAATATGTGTTTACATAAATGGTGACCAAACCGTTTGAGACCCACTGAGATAACTTAGACTAAGTTAACTATCTAAACACTCAGAGAGTCCTTTACCTCACCTGAGCTGTAGTTATCAGTCTCTCAGTCTGACAGCAGAGGACTCTCCCTCCACCTTGTTGTTGAAACAGCTCCTTATATCTGTTAGAGCAGCTAGCTAACCAGATGCTAACAACAAAAATACAAGTAACCGGTGCGCTCTCTCTCTCTCTCTCTCTCTCTCTCTCTCTCTCTCTCTCTCTCTCTCTCTCTCTCTCTCTCTCTCTCTCTCGCTCGCTCGTGCCATACATACACACACCCTCCCGAGCTTGAATGACACACAGAGACCAATCGAGGGCTTTGATTTATGATCGGTATGAAAGTGGCCATGTCGGCAGGCCACATCATAGACAGACAGTCACCCTGTGTGAAGCAGACCCACATTTGCGCAGCATTGCGTTCACAATACATACAAAAATAATAATAATCGCCAGGCCAGCAGGCCAGTTAAAGGTGGGGTAGGTAAGTTTGAGAAACCGGCTCGAGATACACTTTTTGTTATATTCCATGGAATGCTCTTAACATCCCGATAACAATGAATATCTTGCTTTGACAAAAAATCCATAAAAAAACGTCATCTGTGGAAGCCGTAATACTGTAAAAAGGTCTACCTGCCTGTCAGCCTTCCATCTGTGCACAAACTTATCTCGTGCCCTCATTGGTCATGTGCGCGTTCGTGTGTGTTGGAGGAGGGGCTCTATAAGGAAGTGGCAGATTTTCTCCGGTTGTGTATTTTCAAATTATAGCGATCTCGAGCCGGTTTCTCAAACTTACCTACCACACCTTTAAAGGTCCCATGTCATGGCCATTTCTACTGATCATAATTCCATTGTTGAGGTATACTAAAATACATTTAGATTCAATTTTCAATTTTCAACATTCAATTTTCCAAACTCACATTGGTTTCTCATACAGCATCTCTGTATAGTATGTGTATTCACTCTCTGTCCTAAACGGTTTGTTGGAGCTCCTGCCCCCCCCCCCCCCTCCCTGTGAGCCCAGTGGCCGTCTGCCAGACAGCGAGACACAGCGAAACCCAGCCTGAAACACACACACATCCGCAGCCTGGCTGGGAGTTTGTGTGTGTGCCCAGGCTGAGTTCCGCGGTGTCTCGCTGTCTCGCTGACCCCACACCAGTGAGCCAGCTCACAGTGTCCCACTCCTCGCAGCAGCGAGCCTCGCAACGTCCTGCCGAGTGTGTGTGTGTGTGTGAGGAAGTCCGCGGATTGGTCCAAACGTAACGGCTCAGCATTTTTAAAAAGATATTACACAAGTTTTGCAATGTTTACCACAGGAGAGGGTTTTATTTGTCCGACCTGGAAAATAACGATCAACGAGAGGAATCACATGTATGACACAGCATTAAAAGTACTAAGATAGAGAGAACTAAGTAATATAGACAGGTGCAGGAATGAGTCCTAAAACCCAGAAATGATTTAGCATTTTACAACTTCTGGTTCCCTCTTCTCGAAGTGAACGTCTTTTTGAATGTGTTCATGGCTTAGAGGCCTGAAATAAGGTCTGTGGTTAACACAAGCTTAACAACATAAAGTACTGGAGTTATAGCCCACTCATGAATGTACATATGTGTCACAAAAACTATAACTGCTTACAAGTGACTAAATAAACTGATGAAACGTGGATGTATAGCGTTGGAGGTGACCGTGACGTGGAGCTTATCTTGCTGATCGAAACTTGTGATGTATCATAAACGTGTGTTAGCCACATAGCTTATTATCCTTGCTATGCTAACTTTCGGGTCAGCATTACAAATACATCATCACTGCACCACTCTATATAAGCAAAGAATAACAGGGAGGAAAGAAGACAAACAAAACATGTCAGACAGAAAAAGAGACAGGAAGTAAAACAATTATAATTAGAGGAGATTAAGAAGAGGAAGAAATAAGTACATCAAAATAAAAGGAAGTGGTCAAATCTGCCAATAGAAGCTTTGTTGAAATGTGTAAAAAAGGACAAGAGAAATCTGTTAAAATTGTGAATGCTTTTATTCATTGCAGAGTCTTCTGAAATGGAGCCTGACTGGAATTTCTGGAAGTATCTTATTGATGTCGACGGCAAAGTGGTGGATGCATGGGGACCAAAAGTTTCCGTACGAGAAATCCGACCTAAAATAGCTGAAATGGTGCGACAGATAATCCTAAAGAAGAAGGAAGAGCTTTAGCCATCTGTCACATGACCCTTTAGTGTGTGGGTTAGATTTACATGCGTTGGTACATGAACCAAAGAGATATTTTGCTGGTAGATTTGGACCTTCTTTGAATATTCCATTATATCCAAGTAACATAGCCAAAGCAAATTGTACATGCCTTCTGAAGGCACTGCTGAAACACCACTATGTTTTTATATTTAATGTCAAATTTCATATCAGATGGATGATATTTAAAGCTGCAGCCTTAAGCCAAATCACTTCTATCCTTTCTGTTAGACATGTTGATAATGTTTTAGATTTTGTATTCATTCTGATTTGTTGAATAAACTTAAACTGTGATGAGTGAAACCTTGCTATTGTCACTATGTTATATTGAACGGAAATGTTCAAAACACAAATATTTGGCACTTTTCTTAATGAAAAACAGACCTCTTAGAGAAGAAGCCAAATGCAGAGTCTGAGGCAGGATGGTTTTATACAAATACTTTATTAAACCTATTATATGAACCATGCAAAACAGGATTTTTTCAAGGTTCAAGGTTCAAGGTTCTTTATTGTCAATCTGACATAGCTACAGAGTAATTATGCAGTTGAAAATCTTATGTCACAGGCTTCTCCAACAATGCAACATAATAACATAACATAATAACAATAAGAGCAAGAGCAATACAAAAATAATAATAGTTATAAAAATGAAATAAAGTTATGATGTGGAATAGTGCAGTATGAGTCTATATACAAGTTATTGGAATGATATATATATATTAGGTATTAGATACATACTACTGAGTAGCAGTTGAATGTTTGAAGTTGTTTCAACAGTTCAATTTTTTAACAGTCTCACTGCCCGCGGGAAGAAACTGTCTCCGAATCTTCTTGTCCTTGCCAGGATGCTGCGGTAACGTCTGCCAGACGGCAACAGAAAGAACAGTTTGTGGCTGGGGTGATGGGGGTCTTTGATAATCCGTAGTGATTTCTTCCTGAGCCGCTGGGAGTAAAGGTCCTCCATGGATGGCAGCTCCGTCCTGGTGATGTGCTGTGCAGTTTTCACCACCCTCTGTAAAGCCTTACGATCGAGGTCGGTGCAGCTGCCGTACCAGGCCGTCATGCTGCCAGTGAGGATACTCTCTATCGTGCACCTGTAGAAGTTGCAGAGTATCCTGGAATCCATTTTGAACCTCCTCAACCTGCGGAGGAAGAAGAGCCGCTGTCGAGCTTTCTTAGTGATGGTGGTGGTGTGAAGAGACCATGTCAGGTCCTCAGTGATGTGGACCCCAAGGAACCTGAAGCTTTTGACTCTCTCCACCGTAGTCCCATTGATGGCGATGGGGGCGTGTCCCTCTCCCTGCTGCTTCCTGTAGTCCACAATCAGCTCCTTTGTTTTGCTGATGTTGAGATGGAGGTTGTTCTCCTGGCACCAAGATGTCAGGTTTTCGACCTCCTCTCTGTACGCCGTCTCGTCATCGTCTGTGATCTGGCCGATGACGGTCGTGTCATCAGCAAACTTCACGATGGTGTTGGAGCTGTGTGTGGCCACGCAGTCGTGGGTGAACAGGGAGTAGAGGAGAGGGCTGAGCACGCAGCCTTGAGGGGCACCGGTGTTGAGAATCAGGGTGGAGGATGTGATATTTCCCACCCGCACTGCCTGGGGTCTGCCCGTCAGGAAGTTCAGGATCCAGTCGCAGAGGGCGCTGTTGAGTCCGAGGTCTCTGAGCTTGATGGCCAGCTTGGAGGGCACAATGGTGTTGAATGCTGAACTGTAGTCAATGAACAGCATTCTCACATATGTGTTCCTCTTCTTCGGGTCCAGGTGTGAGAGGGCAGTGTGGAGGGTGAGGGCTATGGCGTCGTCTGTGGACCTGTTTGCTCTGTAGGCAAACTGCAGGGGGTCCAGAGATTCAGGGAGGGAGGAGGTGATGAATAATTTGACTAACCGCTCAAAGCACTTCATTATGATGGAGGTGAGTGCTACTGGGCGGTAGTCGTTGGGGCAGGTGATGATTGTCTTTTTGGGGACAGGAATGATGGTGGAGTGTTTAAGACATGTGGGGACTACAGACTGCAGCAGGGACCTGTTGAAGATGTCTGTGAACACCTCTGCCAGCTGAACTGCACACACCCTGAGAACACGGCCAGGGATGCCATCAGGTCCAGGAGCCTTGTGTGGGTTAACCCTTTTAAAGGATTTACACACATCTGCCCTATTTAAAACAAAAGGGCAGTGTAGCTCCTGGTCCCTCTGTACCTCCACAGCCTGGCTGCTCTCAAAGCGTGCAAAAAAACTGTTTAGCTCATCTGGGAGAGATGCGCACGCAGACACTCCCGCAGCACCCCCCGCTGCTCCTTTGTAGTCAGTCATTGTCCTTAGTCCCGCCCACATATTCCTAGTGTTACAGCCTTTGAAGTCAGATTCCACCTTCTCTTTGTACTGTCTCTTTGCATTTTTTATTGCTCTCCGGAGATCATACCTAGACTTCCTGTACTCCTCCAAATCTCCCGCTTCATGTCATTCATTCAGTCTCTGTTCAGTTTGATCCAGTCGTCACGTTTGAGTTAATCATACATATCCCAGTCTGCATGAACTCATCACCTCTGTTCAAACTTTAAACCTAATTTATAAATCCCAAAGGTATTACTGTTTCCTCAAAGCACTGGCCAACCAGAAGAAAGTGTGAGGTGTTCAATTATAGACTAAGGGGACAGGATGGTTTAGTAATAATTATTGTACTACACTGATATGCAGTTATACTTGGAGTAACGCATGGATACTCACTGTATACAGTTCTGGCACGGACGCTCACCATACCAGAGACAATAATGAATGTATACTCACTAGTAAACACAGGAAAGGAATCGTCATCAAGTGGTAAAAGCTGTGGCAAATATTTACTGAGAATTAGGATGTGGTTTATCTGCTACCTGTTCTTCCTTTAAGAAAGAGTGAGAGTTCCTCTTTTTAGACTTTTAAGTTGGGGATGACAGTCGCCACAATTAAACTGCTTGAAGCATAGAGCCACTTTTTACTTAGAACCAAAATAAACTTTGGCTGTGTAGATTTTTTGTATAAAGACCTTATACATATGTGGCCTATGGTGGTATATGGCATTGGTTAAAGTTTCAGACATACACATAAAACTCATCTTTGACTTAATGTTTTCTTTTAAGTAGACCCTGATACTGTATATTTATTTCCTTTCTGAAATACGTACATTCATTTTATTTTATGTAAAATAACCACACTGCTTTATTTGTGCAGTCCACACAGGCTACATTATGTCAAAACTATTTTTGAATTCATGCAAAAGTATGAGGAACTTCATATGAGTCACAGTAAAATAAGCTCCTGGGAACTCAGTTGATGTTAGGGGCTCGCACACGATTTTGCTGTCAAAGACAAACGTTGAAAGTGCATTGTGAAAGACATGCTAGATTCAGGTTAAAACATTCCCAAAAATAATTTATATTATTAACAGAATGTGAAGAGGAATCAGTGTTTGTTGTTAGGTCAAAGATATTTATATTTTATGTTGTAGTTATATCTACTGAAATTAGCATGTTTAATGACTAGTTGCGGCCCTTTGACGCGTTAGCAAGGGGCTGCCGTGGGGCCGTGACAAAGTTTGTTTTGTTTTGTTTCTGTGACTTTGGATTTAGTCAAAAACACTAAACCAACATACCTTTCCACGGAGTATAGCCCTCGGTTAACGTTAATGCCACAGTAATTTCACTTAGAGTAGTAATCTAAAGCTAAGTAAAAACACTATGGCTTGTAAAATTATCCAAACGGACACACTATAGACGTTAGCCAGCAACATTAAAGGGGCCCTATTGTGCTAATTCTCAGGTTCACATTTCATTTTTTTTTGTGCCTCTACTGTGACATGTTTACATGCTTTTATTTTCAAAAAGGTGTTTATTTTTCTCATAAACATAAAAACATATTACACAGTTCAGAACAGGCAAAACCCAATAAAGCACAAAAGGACACCTATAAGGCTAAACACCCTTAACAAAACAATGCAGAAGAGCTTGTGTGATTCTCTTTATTTTAAAATGATATTGTTGGGAAAACGTTTTTTCAGTGCTCATCAAATAGAGAAGTTATCCCCATTTTTCAAATCTTACTTTTAAAAGGGAAAAATAGATATTGGTATATTGAGGTAGATATGGTATTTAGTTAACCTCTTAAGCACGGCGATCCCCCCATTGGACCCCTCCCACTGTTTTTTTTTTAGACAATGTCTCAGGGCTTCTTAACATTTATGAAACTATTAATGTGTAGCACCAGATTAACGGAAAGAATCTCAGCTAACTGAAGATATGAACCATTTTTAGCTAAAAGAAACACAAGAGTAATACCAAGCCTTTGAATTAGCATTTTGCGAAAAAATGCTAACTAATGCTAACGGACTTTTGCACAGCACTCACTCTCAAAACGCCCTTATCGTAACTGCATAAACAAGATATCCGATTAAAGCTGAGACTCCACAGATTCCATACATGTAGTATCATCACTGTACGACCCCGAATTTGCGGAGCTTTCAGCCAGAAAAGAGAAAGTAAACAACATCCTGTTTAAAAAATATTACAATAATTACATCTTACCTTTTTTGATTTGTGATCAAAAGTTGTGTTCAACGGAATAAAAACGCCGCTCAAGCTTAATCCAATGTCTCTGTGTCACGTAGAATTTTTTACTGATAATCCATCATCATATTTATGGCAATAAACTGGGTATAAAGTTTTGCAGTCAAGGCTTGTACTTTCAGATATGCTTCGTTTGCTTCTCTATTACCTCCGCAATGGTAATGTTTACGTGGATTTGGGAACTGCCCATCGGATTCTATTGGATCTAATGGTTAAGAAAAAGGTGTAAATCACTCAAATCGACCAATGGGTTCCATAGATATGGTCCTGCGTAAAGTATAAAGTATGACAGCCAGCAGCAGACCCATTACGCAGCAGACTCTACGCCATGTTTAGTACGTAAACAACAGGAATTGCAGCAGGACCCAGAGCGCACAGAGCGGACAGCAGATAACGGAGCAGATTACAAGATTGGCGTTTAGGACTTTTTCTATACTTTGACTTTTGTCAAATAATGGCTTGCAGGAAAGAGATGCTTACTACTTTACAGGCAATGGAAATGGTGACTAATGCTGACAGCGATGCAGATATGTTACCCGTTGATTCTGAGTCAGATGACGAGGATCTCCTGCAGCCAGAACGGCACCCGGAGCGTTGAACTTGTGACTCTGATGATGAAATTCCACCACGGGAAAGGTATGTAATCTCTCTGTTTTTATCTATTACTTATTTATTTGGTGTACGATTATTCATATAGTAAATAAAAGCGTCTGCTAAATGTAATGTAATGTAATGTACGCTCAAAATGGCATGTTTGGCAGGAAGAGGGATTATTTACAAAAATAGTGTTTCTTGTCTGTTACATTTACTAAAAGTATAGGCCAGTGTTCATCTATAGTCACTAAATGTATTGCATTCACACACTCAAAATGGCATGTTTACTGCCTAGGAAACAGGAATTACAGGAATTAATCTAAACTCTTTGTTTTTCCACATTTGTTTTCATAGTGATGGAGATGAGGATGAAATGGCTTCAACATTGTCTACTTTCACCCAGCCCACACCTGCCTCACCCTCACATTCCTCAACTTATTATAATTTTCTCAGGCCTCGTCACCGTTCACAACCGATGGGACTACTGGAGGAAGAAATGGCCATATAACTTCCAGGCTGGTGTGTGGCAGACTAAGACTGTTCCCGTTCCTGACGCTGTGTTGGACTACAACCGAAACATGGGCGGCGTGGATGTGTCTGACGCTTTGATCGGGTACTACAGCGTTCTCCACAAAACGATGAAATGGTACAAGACTTTTTTTTTACCATTTTATGGACATTGCAGTTGTGAACAGATTCCTTCTCCACAAGGAGCTGTACAAGATGAAGAGTGACCCCAGCAGGACAAAGCCACACACACAGAAGAATTTCAGGGAGCAGCTTGCTGCAGAAATGTTGGAATATGTTGAAGGCTCTGCACCTCCACCACCCCCCCCCCCCCCACCACTCACATGCGGGCCCATGTTTTATGGGAAAGATGTCCATATCAGGAAGTACTGCAGGAACTGCCATGATGCTGGCAAAAAGAGGGTGAAGACACCTTGGCACTGCGTGAAGTGCCAGGTCCCTCTGTGCTTGAATATCAAAAATAATTGTTACCAGGAGTGGCATGCCAAAATATTGTAACATTCAGGAGGTAAGTATAAAGTTTTACATTCAGGAGGTAAGTATAAAGTCTACCTATCTAGAGTGTGGTTTTATTGTATAGTATGTTTGTAAAATGTTTGAAATAAATCTGTAAAATGTTTGAAATAAATCTGCTCCAATTGGAGTCAAACTTCATTTTGTATGTTTTTTTTTACAACAGTTGTATTCGGATGGAATGAATACCTATAGTGATAATTCAAAGTAATAAAATGATTTTTACAGTGAAAAAGGTCAAATGGAACTGATGGTTCCCAAATTACCCAGAGGTGAGTCCACCTGGACTTTATTTTTCTAAACCTCTCTAAAAAGGTCAAATGTCACTTTCCTAAAGCTTTTAGTCTACTAACCCATCATTCAAGGGTGGTTTTCACTATAAGTAATGGGTTTTTTTTAGGCGGAGATAGAATTTACATGTTTTTACTATGTTCCATATAAATTTACTTTAAAGACTTTAAAGATCTATATTGATTCTGACACTTCTACATCCAACTCACAGATGTAACCTTGCTTTGAGAAAAAAGATGATTAATTTACCCCTTTTAGAAGTGAAGATATAGTCTTTGTTGTGTTAGTGGCATTTTCGAGCCTGAAACCTGAAAAACAGGCTCAGGGCTTAACAGGTTAAGACCTGTCCCATTGCTGAGCTCCGTGACAACTGTGTGTTTCCAGCTGTCTTCTGTCACTCAGAATAAGATGCTTGAATGCCTTTTGACAAATATACAAGATGTTCAACTGTTGACTATAATTAGACAAATAACTGTCAGTGAGAGACGCCCCGGTGAGAGCGTGTTGTGTTTGGTTTTCTCTGTGACCTAACACATTGTAAAATGCACGTATGGAGTTCACCGTTACCCAAACAGACTCACATAAAAAGGAAGTAGAGAAGGGGACCATGTGAAACTGACCAATGCAAATTATTAATTGTTTCCCTACTTTGAAATTCAAAGTAATGCATACAGTTCCTGTTCCTCCTTCTTGTGCACGGTGTAGTAACTTCCTCTTTTTAAACACAGGTTTGTATATAAGATGTGATTCCACAGTCAAAAGAGCAATGCAACATTTTCACATCACGATGAAGCTGATTCTGTCCCTCACTGTCATCTGGATGCTCTCCAGCTCAGGTAACTCACTCTTTAACTGAGTTTATTCAGGTAATTTTTAAAGATACAAAATGCTATATGGAATGAAGTTCTGAATTTAATTAAAAATATTTTAGGGAAATAACTTTTCGTAAACATGACCATGAGGCTAACTTTACCAGTCACAGAAATGCCTTTAATCCAGATAGCATGTCAGTGACCTATAGGTAAAGTCAGAAGGAAACATTTAAATATGGAACTGTTAGTGAGGCTGATGGAGAACAGGACAGTACAGGTGTCATCATAGACTTTAGTAAAACTGCAGCTATATAAATTAACGAGTTGCCTTTAAATACCAGTAAGTAAGTTCAGGTATTTAAAATAGTAAATCAGTGATTTTATGGTAAAATATGCTTATTGTTCAGCTTCCCTTCATCATTTGACTGAATATTCTCTGGTGCAGCTGGAGCTCTTATGTGTAAAAATGATACTGCAACCAGTGTGACCTGTGAATCCAATGAACAGTGTGCAACAGCTGCTATACAAGGTAAGTGTACAAATATTTAAAATAAATGTGTTGTTTCCTCATGTCAGTGTTTTTTTTAAACAATATTTCATAATAAAGATCTTTTCACATTTGTTTTTTACAATTTACAAATTGCAAATATATTTAACAGGCCCGTCAGGACAGAAAAAATCATGTGTGTCATCCTCCGTCTGCGAACCCAACAATCAGACATTTTCATTCACCTTTGGTCACGCTCAACTCACTGCATTTGTTCACTGCTGCAAGACAGATAACTGCAACAGTGTTAATGTGTCTGGTAAGTGAAAATAAGTAATACAATTAAGGAAAGGAACTGCCATTTATATATCAGAATACATACAAAAATGACTACTACAGTGAGATGTTTTGGCCTTTTTTGACGTGTCTCCTGTTCTGTTTCAGCCCCTGAAGATCAGTCGGAAAACAAACTGATGTGTTACATGTGTGATGGTGGTCAAAGTACTGTCTGTAACGAAACAGTAAAGTGTAAGGGAAACCAGGACCGCTGCGTTAAAGGGACTGGTGAGCTCTCATTCTGCATATTCAGCAAATTCCTTAGCATTTGTAACTACCAGTGGTGGAAGAAACACTCAGAAATACTATAGTATGAGTGAATCATGTGGTTTTATATGAACCAAGTAGTGGAGTAAAATGTACAATATTTGCCTTCAAAATGTAGTGGAGTAGACATATAATGTGGCATAACATTGAAACACTAAAGAAAAGTACAAATATGTTAAAAGAGTACTTAAGAACAATACTTTAGTTAATGTACCTTGCTTCATTTCACCACTGGTTACCGCTGCCTTCAACTATTCCTCCATGTGTGTGGTTTCAGAGATCTGTAAAAACTGTGGTCTACTATAACAGTGATTCTGTCATCCACAGCTGATGATGGAAAGGACTCAAAGAAATTCTCTGGCTGTGCCTCTAAAAACACGTGTGGAGCTGCTTCTCAGCTGGGCTTCCTGACTGGCGCTCTGAAATTCGACGATGGACCACACTGCTGTGACACCAAGCTCTGTAATTCAGCCTGGACCGTCAAACTGAGTGTTGTTCCCTTTTGGGTTGGGCTCCTTCTGTTTGTTGCCCTTTAGAGCAAAAAGCAGCTGATACAAATATCACAACGTACCAATTATTATTAATTTTTGTTAGTGATGTGTTTATTATTATTTATCAAAAAAATTAATAATATTAGTCAATATAATATCTCCTTTTGATCAGTGATGTTACAGTCATACACATTCTAACCAATAATGTCTACTTCCAAAGTTTTTACACAGATTGAAATGATAAAATGACTGATTATTGATTGAAATACTCAAATGAATACAGAACCTGCCATTTACAAAAAATAAATCTAAATAAATATACAAAGTCAAATTCTTGCATTGTACTTGTAAGCAATTTCCTTTCTATCGTGGCCACAATTATTCATCATAAGGGTATTATTGTAATAGCCAAAGACATTTAGAAAAACAAATGATACCAAACCAATGATATGTCAAATGAATATTTAACTATGTTTCTTGTTCTGCTTTTTTTGCAAATGAATTAGGGAGATGGAGAAAGAATATGTATGTATAAGCAATGATTTAATAGGAGCTTTCATTATTTACCAGATATAATCACATGTGCATTTTGGACATATCAACATTCTTTTAAATTCACATTTATGTTACATGATGAGTAAGTTGAAAATGTACTCTTCTTTTTGTGCTGGTTTCCACTTTCTGGATATGAATATGTATCCATAAAGTGTAAGTGTAAAATCATGTTATATCCATACCATGAATCAGCTGTTTAGATATAGAAATTATCGATTTAACTTTCTTGTTATTTGTGTGCAGTTATCTCTGGCATATATATGAATACCTGCTGTAATAAGTACTCACCAAATAAAGCTTCAACTACATGTTATTTTTAAATGGTTCCTGGTCTATCTTTGTTGCTAAGAGAAATCCTCAGACCACAATCGCACACTGTGCTAGAAAAAGGTAACAATGACTTTAAAGCTTTGTTGAGCTGCTGTGCTGGTGATAACACTCTGTTGGTTTATTGCTAGCAATCCCTTTAACATCCTATATAATCATTTGATTCACGGTTAATAAGAAATAGTGATTGGTGTAGTTTTGGGATCCCTGGAAAAGTAAAATATTCTTAAGTTATCTCATCTATCAGGTAGTCCTACCACATCTAGTAGCAAAAAGAATTCCCCACTGAGCTATATGGCTTTAGCAATTGAGCTATACGGATCTACCAATGTAACCATACGGCTACATTAGATTTTTTATATATTATATGTGATAAGAATAAAATAAAATAAAATATTATAAACTTTAATCACATTCTTTTTTTACATTTTCTGATACAGAATTGTTTTGATGTTGTGATCTTTGATATTGCACACATACCACTGCATAAGCCTAATATGTCCGATTAACTAAGCAAAGTCAGACCAGCAAAGGTTTGTTTCCATCTCAGAAATAAAAATATAAATAAAAAGACCACCTTGCGATATTTTGTTACTCATGTTAAAGCTCAAGTAAGGGGCTACTGTGCATATCAACTTTAATATATCTCCAAAACGTGCATACATTTCCAATATTAATACGTTAGAATACTTTGAAATGGTTAACAGGGTTAACGACAGTATTTTATCCATTAATGGCCCAGCTCCAGCTCGGAGAAAGTCTGAAGGATGGACATTTGTAATCAGCTGTAGGAAGGAATAATGTTATCATTCAGTCCAGGAAACCATGGGTTTCGGGTCATTTTGACTGCGGTATGGAAATCAACATGTTCAAACAATCGAAGGTCTTTGATAGCAAAAAAGTCATTACAAAAACAAATTCAAATACATTGACCTACACAAAAGCAGTGGGAAAGTTTATCAGTCCGAGAATCCACAAGTAGACTAATAACAAGGTTGTTGTAGAAAACTAATCTAGAAAAGTAGCTGTAAAGACATGAGGCAGTATGTCACATCGTAAACATTGGCATTTTTTAACTTCCAATTCTAGCTCTTCTTATGCAAAATCACAAAATCTGAAAAAAAAAAGACAATAAAAAAATGTGCGGATGCTCAATTCACTGTGGCTCGATTCCCAGCCCTTGCTTTTGACATGTTTAGGTGTCTTGGGCAAGATGGACGGTCCATGTACGATATCCACCTGACAAATATGGAACCAATTACCTCTCCTTTTGGTTCTCCTTCAACTCCTGTATATCTTATCTCTTGTGGAAAAGTGTTGGGGGGATCCCAAGAGAAGCTGGAAGACCTGTCCAGGCCTGGGTTATCTTGCATTGACTGCTACCACCATGAATAGGAGTCCAACTTAGAAGCTCTCAGTCTTGTATGTTTTTCAGAAACTCATCTATTTCTCTGCACATTCTGTTTCTGCCCCTTACTCTGATCTTCTCCAGAGTTCTGAGGCTGTTCTCACGATAGCAAGATTGTTGCGTTATTGCTGCTGCCCTTATGTGATATTCTATCGACTTGTAGCTCTCCTTTCGAAAGCGGTGTACATATTGTGCGTAGTTGTTGTAAAGCATCTGTGCCCCTTCTGCATCCAAGTCACTTCCCAGCAGTTCCTCGTATATCTCATCAGCTTTTCCTTGGTCATTGGACTCGGCATAGATGTTAGCAAGAGATATTTTCCTTGTAAGTGAAGAAAAAGGGTAAAGAGTGATCACTTCTTTATGGAGACTGATTGCTCGATCGATCATACCGTTCTCCAAGGGATTGTCCCTATGCAGAAAGATCTTCTTCTTGTAGCAGATTGCAGCACATCTCTTGAGGTAACGCTCATGTGGATGTCTTTCCAGAACCTCCTCTGCCAAGTCAATGGCCTCATCCATGGATACATAGATTCTGTACAGCCTTAGTAACGGTTTTAAACCACTGTAGCTGCTGATGGGCTTTCTTAAAACTCTTCTAGCCAACTCCCGTGCTTCAGTTTCCATTTTTTTCCCTCTCTTGGCACATGCCTCAAAGTACAGCGCAGTGAGGTACAAATTATCTGGATCATGTTTCTTGGCGATTTTCAATTTATCAAAGATATCAGCCCCCATGTTTTCTTCTCTGTGCCTAAGAGCATTTTCCAACCCTATGACGTGGCTGGTGTGCCAGTCCACCATGTCCGGCTGCATCCTGATGGCTCTCTGGAAGTTATCCGCAGCAAGCAGCATTTTGTCTGCGCTGAACTTCATCAGGGTCCAGGCTTTTTCAGCACAGATCTCTGGATGGAGCTCCTCCTGGGATGGAGATGGATATTCATTCATCAGGAACTTGACTTTAGACAGGTGAGCCTCACTCTCTGCTTGTTCTCCCTCATGGTAGTGCAGCCAAGCCAGGTTCCCGTGGTTCACCACCAACCAAGGACCCTCATCTGAGACAGTGTTTTTAATCTGACGGAAGGCCTCTGCAGCCCTGCTGAAGAAACGGTAGGCGTCATCGGTGAAGCCCAGCTGGTAGTGGATGAACCCCTGCAGGTTGTAAATGTGACCCAGCCAGCTGTATCCCTCCTCTGTGCCGATGTCTTCTAGCTTGTCCCTGAGACAGAAAAGCTTGGAACTGCTCGGGTCCAGATCCCAGGTGAAGTGGCACTGCAGGGCCTCTAGTTGGGCCTCCAGCCCTGTTTGACTCTGAGCAGCACTGGAAGAGATACAAAATAAAAAGTGTCAGAGCTCTTGTGCTGTACAGTAATATAAAGTGCTCTGCGTGCTGCGGAATGTAAGCATGATCACAGTTATTATCATAATCTGAAAGAATGAAGGAAGATGAAACATTGAATCAACAGGAAGGAAGGAGTGTCCGAGGGAATAATAGTGTACTCAGTAGAGTGCAGATCCCCACCCGGTGTTTCTTCAACGACCACTGCTGTTTTGTTTGTTTGATTGAATGAAAACAACAGAAAAGAAGGACCGAAAGACAACAGAAAAGTAAATAATGAATGAAATGAGAGGAGAGGAATAAGGAAGGAGTGATGAAGGAAAGCAAAGTTGTGAAAATAAGAAGATTGACATGGAAATAAAGTTAAAAAAGGACAAGTTTCAATGGTAGAGAGGAAGTAAAAAGGAGAGAGGAAAAGTAGGGAAAGAAAAATAAATAAGAAAGACAAGTTAACAAAGGAAGGAAACCATAAATCGCAAAGAATGGATAAAACTAAGAAGGAAATTATAGAAGGAAAAGAGATGACAGCACAGTAGAGAAATTGATGTAGGGAAAGACATAAGAGGTGTAAAACTAAATAAAGAAAATTACAAAATAAACTTTAAACAAGCAAATACTAAACACAGAATAAGATTTGAACAATTTGTAACATATGATATGATGTATAATATATGATAACGTATAGTATATCGTGAAAGGTAAAAATATTATACAACATAATATCAAGTAAACAGCAATATAATATAGGATATACAACAGAGTATCAAATATATATATTAGATATAATGTATCAGTGTTATAATGAATGATATTATATAGCCTAATACAAATATGTAAAACACATAACTATAAAACAGAATAAATCTACGTTTTTGTATAGACAGGTATCTAAAATCTCGAGCCGAGAGACAATGGAGGACTAAATCAGATCAGTGACTATGGATCCAAAATGTTATACATATTCAAATTGTGACTGATTTCAGAAATGACATTCAAAGTCAGAAACTCACCTCATCATCCAGCTGCAGTCTGCTTAATCTTAGAAGTCTATTTCTGCTCTTTACACTTTGTACACTGCTGCTTTGGGTGCGGCACCATAAAATCAGTAATGTTCAACTTATGTGTGAACGTAATGTACAAGTGTTGCAAAAGACGTACTTTTCCCAGGCACATTTTTCATGACTGAACAGATTTGTATGGAGCTCAGATCTATTTTTTCTTGAAATTCAAGTTTTGGCTTTCAAGGCAAGAACAACATCGATTTTTCAAATCACGTCTCAAAACACATCTTTTCACACTTGCATATCCACCTTGATCACATCACACGTCCTCTGTTTTTATTGATTATAGTTTATATATAACAACTTCAAGTCCCAGTTATTCCACACCATTTTCCAAATTAATCCAGAGGGACATTTGCAGAAAAATGGAAGTCAGCCAGGAAAACCACGCTGGTATTGTTTTTTGCCTTGTGATTCTGTGTGTTTCATTCTGCAAACATGTGATCCTGAAGCTTCTGGCAAACACAACATTTTCCCAGTACAATGTAAACTCTGGCAAATATGATTAATCACAGATATTCAAAGGCTAACCATTTTTGTGTGGCAAGAAACATGCCAAATAAGTGTATAACGGTTTGTGAATATTCATTGGTTGGAAGTTGGTGGCTTTTTTTATTATTATATTTTTCTGCATGTATTGATTGGCAGACAGTGTAATATTTAGATATCATTTTAAAAGACTTGTCTTTAACCTTTATCAATAAGGTTACTAAAGGTTAACGTTCTTTATTTTTAGGCATGCATGGTTCTTAGATTTACCTTTCAAAAAGAAGATATTGACATCATTAACTCAATTTGCACTACTTTCTCATTTATGGCCATCAAACATTGGATTATGATTCAAGCTGATCTTGAAACCTCAGATTTTCACATTTTTTCCCATAATGCAAAAAGAAAATGGATATAGGGCAACCAGTCTAGCCAACATTAATTTGACTTTAATTTGAGATGTTCATTTAAATGAATTGTAAAATTATATTTATATTGACACATGTATTAGTATTTATATTTTATATATCTGTATTTTGATCTATTTTAATTGTTAGTGTGATAGGTACTTGGACATGTTTTAATGTTGTTGATTGTTATACAGTATGTGTGTACCTGCCCAGGGACTGCATGGAAATTAGCTACACTCTGGCATGTAGCAACTCTTCTCTTTTTGAGATTAATGTATTTTTATGCATGGTCATTGTTCAATAAAGATATATAAAACAATAATGATAATACATTACATGAGAGTCACGAACTGGATATATAAAAATAAACTGAATCTTCACTGAGGTTAAAACATGGGTTTCCTGCTGAGGGCAGTATCACAGCTGTTTTTAAAGGCGAAGAAGAAGAAGAAGAAGAAACGCGGTGACGTAGTTTGCTCTGCGACACAAACACCGTTATTTTCAATACATCCCTGTTAGCATGTAGCAGCTGTACAAGCGACTTTTCTGAATTGTTTTACTGTCTACGATATTTAAACGATAATGAGAGGTTTACCGACGACCCAGTGAGTGGTACCTATTTTATTTCTGCAGAGGGGAGACGTTTAGAGAGTGTCATACTTAGCTAATGTACTAAAAGTTTCTAGTTACTCTGCTTGTGTAGAAATATTCAGCTATAGCTACCGTTAGCTATACTTGGTGATGAGCTAACTTAACTTCTGACCACTGGGGTACTTTACTCGTGTGTTTCAGATGATGATGTGACACACCAGCCTCGTCTCAGTCGGTGGTGTTGTGGAGCAGTGCATGCCCAGGCCGCAGGAGGTGGAGCAGGGCAGGTGGAGGGTCTGAGCTCTGTTGTCCGGGATGGACGCCTGGACCCCCAATCCCCGAGCCAAGCCTTTCATCCCCCGCCAGCAAAGAAGCTTGTACCTCACCTGGAAATACAAGCTGACCAACAAGAGGGCGGTTCGTCGGTTCTGTCAGGTAAGTTAGAAACAACTGTCTGTCCACATGGAGGTGTGTCAAAGATGGTCTTGGTTTGTGTTGCAGGCAGCCTAGAACAAAATGCACACTCTTTGATACAAACACATTAAATACCTAAATACTGGTGGAAGAAGTACTCCTTTTGTGTACTTAAGTAAAAGTAGAAATACCAAAGTGTAGGGAAGGGATACTCTGTTACAAGTAAAAGTAAAAGTCCTGCATTGCAAATGTTACTTAAGTAAAGGTAGAAAAGTATGAGCAACAAAACATACTACCAAAAGTAAAAGTACTCATTATGCAGAATGGCACATTCCAAAATAATATTTGTTATATGTTTTGATTATAATTATTGATGCATTCATAGGTTTATTAAAGCTGGGATAGGTGGAGCTACTTTGAATTACTTTGCATACTGCAGGGAAGCTTGTAGATTTTACTCCTGGTGTAACTCAAGTCTTAAGATTGTACTTGATTACAGTAATTGAGTACATTTACTTAGTTGCTTTACAAGGATGAAAACATCTCAAATAGGATAGTTACTGTATGCTTCTTCACAAAAATACACTTGCTTACTCTTTTAATGGCTCAACTGTGTCTATAATGTTTGAATTTCTAAGTTCCTTTTGTCATTTATTCAGCTGGCAATGACAGTCTAACATCTCATCCTCTCACAACAATGCACCCCTTACATTTGCATGATTATATAAAAAGATATCATGAAAGTTACAAATCAGAATCAGAGACACAGGATAGTGAGGTAGGGATCAAATGTTATGCAATTAAAATGATACGTGTGGTGGACAGTTATTGCAAAAATGTTTCAAAGTTAATAAAAGTATGTGCATAATTAGACCAACTACATGCCTATAAATAGAGAAACAGTATATTAAAGTAGACAATATAAAGGTTTAAAAAAATGGAAGCTCTCCTCAGGAAATGTTGCTTTATCTTTTTAAAGTAAAAGTTGTTTCGAGACCGGCTACGAAATATGAAAAGAGAGCTTGTTGAGTGTTTTGTGCTTAATTAAAAAAAACAAAGAGCATCAACAGGGTGTACTCTTTCTCTCTCCTCGCGGAATGAGTGTATTCTTATAATAATGGGAACACCGGGCCCAGGTATTCGCAGTAAACAACCACACCTACTGGCATCTGCATCACAAAACACAAAGACAAGCAGCCAGAGCAGCAGCCAGCAAAGGGCGAGGTCACCACAGTTGCAGAACTCATGCCAACTTCTCATTCATCAATATTGGTTTATCTTACATTTCTTGAGGACTTTACAAAAAGTCAGTTAGAAAAAAAAAATCACAACATTTGGTAATCCTTTTTCAAGAGGATAAGGTGGAGAAAGACTATGAGAGAGATGCAATAATCAGATTTTCAGCTGTGGTCCTAAGAAAGCCTTGACTAGAAAATACATGTATTTTTCCCCCTTTCACAGGCTGGTGCTGTGCTGTTTCTGCTAATTACTGTCATAGTCAACATTAAACTCATCTTGGACACCAGAAGAGTCGCCAGTGAAGATGCAGCAGCTCAAGAATATGGTGAGAATCATGTCCAGTGCTTATTCTGTTTCCATCTGGGTTTGTTTCTATTTAACACAAGCACTGTAGCCTAAAATAGGAATGTGGCACTCATTATAGTCATGAGAACACAAGTGTAAGGACAATCGGCTAATGCATTTTTATTTGATCAGTCCATCAGCTTTTCTTTCCAAAGTTTTACATACTTAAATGTCCAATTATTTAAATAGGCTCCCATTGATAGTAGACATCTGTGTCCTGTACTCTATAGGCCTGTTTCTAGAAATATAGTCTCACCCCTCAAGATTCGGTCTGATGATAAGTTCTAGTCTTTTTCTGAATATTTTCAATCTTTGAAAACTAAAGGATGTCCACCTTAATGTGCTCTCTAGAAGTTCAGAGTTTGAACAGTGAGGTGTCTTAATATGAGGCTGCAAAGGTGGAGTTATGTGTGTGTTGATCTTTTGAGTAAAGGATAATAGAGGGTTCAATTTAAAATTCTTACCTGCTCTCTGTACATTATCCTGCCTCCATTAAATAACTGTGTCCATAGTAACAGTCTGTTATTCATAGCAGTGGTCTGCTTTAAAAAAATAACAGGTGGTTGAATGCTGTAATTAACCAATCAGAATTGAGTATTCTACAAACCTTTTTCTGGTTTTCAAAGTCTGTTATTGAGGGCAAAACTTCGAGCCTCCTTGCTGGTGTGAGACATCAACGTGTAGCTTTTTGAAGCACTGCTTTCTACAGTTGAGGCCTAAATTATTAGCCCCCCAGGAGTTATGGAAAATGTTCATAAAATTCTTTCCAATGTTTCCAGCAATGATAAAACTTGATATAATCAAACATTCACCAGTGCTATTTAGTAGCTTTTGGTACATTTTGGAACGTAAAATAAGTTGTTAGGCTTGCTTTATATCAAATATAGTGAAAAATGGGTTGGTCAAAAATATTAGCCCCCATGTGAATTGTTGCTTTCAAAACACACCTAATCAATCAATCAGCTTTCAAGTCACACCTGAGCATTCAATCAGCATAAAAGGACTCCAAGAAACAGGCACTCTGATACCTTATTGAGAGGGACTATACTACTACTCCTACTCACCATGCCAAAGACAAAGGAAATCAGTCTTGAGCTCAGAAAGAAGATAGTGGAGGCTCATGATAAGGGGGAAGGCTATACTGCTATGTCCAAGCGCTTCACAGTGTCTAGAACTGCTGTACGTTGCATCATTGCGAAGTACAAGGAGACAAATTCTGTAAGAAACAAACCTAGGCGTGGTCGAAAGCGCAAGATTTCAAGAACTCTGGAGAGGAAAATAGTCAGAGATGTCAGCAAGAATCCCCGGACATCTGCCAAGATGATTGTTGCTGACCTGGCCTCTTCTGGAGTTGATGTTTCAAGGAACACAGTTGTGAGGGCTCTTCATCGTGGTGGGCTTCAGGGCCATCGTCACAGAAGAACCCCTTTACTCAAAGAGTGGCACATCAGAGCCAGACTGAGGTTTGCCCGTGAACATTTGAAAGGTAAAGATGAGTTTTGTAAGTCTGTGCTTTGGTCTGATGAGACTAAACTGGAACTGTTTGGGCACATGGATGTTGCTTATGTTTGGCGAAGAAAGGGAGAGGCCTTCAACCCTAAGAACACATCATGCTGTGGGGCTGTTTTGCAGCCTCAGGCACAGGGAGCCTTGTTCGGGTGCAAGGCATCATGAAAAATTAAAATGATGTTGACATTTTGAGGGATAATATGAAAAAATCTGCTCTTAGTCTTCGTTTAGGTCGTCGCTGGGTCTTCCAACAAGACAATGACCCAAAGCACACATCAAAATTGGTCCAACAGTTCCTAAAGGACACCAAAACCAAGGTGCTGGAGTGGCCCGCACATAGCCCAGATCTTAATCCTATTGAGAATCTGTGGCGGGTGCTCAAAGTGAATGTCCATGCTCGGAAACCACGCAATTTGGACCAGCTGGAACAATTTGCAATGGAAGAATGGGCCAAAATCCCTCAAGAGACCTGTGCCAACCTAGTAAAGAACTACTCTAAGAGCTTGTTGTCAGTTGTGGCTCAGAAAGGGTACACTATTGACTATTAATGGCCTGGGGGCTAATATCTTTGACCAACCCATTTTTCACTATATTTGATATAAAGCAAGCCTAAAAACGTATTTTATTTTCCAAAATGTACCAAAAGCTACTAAATAGCACTGGTGAATGTTTGATTATATCAAGTTTTATCAATGCTGGAAACATTGGGAAGAATTTTAGGAAAATGTTCCATAACTCCTGGGGGGCTAATAATTTAGGCCTCAACTGTATGTATCGCATTTCAGCATGGCAACATTGTAGACAAACTAACCCTAGTCTTATGCTCCTTTTTTAGAGGACATTGTTCCCAACATGGAGACGCCACGCAGGCCGGCTAGTGGACGCAAAATCCTGGACATTGAAGTGTACTCCAGCCGCTCCAAGGTCTACGTGGCAGTGGACGGCACCACAGTGAGTTCAAATGAAATAAAGTATTTTCATGACAAAAATACATAACTGAAAAGATGTCCGACAGATAATATATCTATATTTTGCTCTTCTCCTGCAGGTGTTGGAGGATGATATGCGGGAGCAGGGCAGAGGCATCCATGTGATAGTTCTCAACCAGGCAACTGTAAGCACTGAGTTTGTTTACTCTTAATGTTTAATTCACGCTCCTTCCATTTTAATCCAAATTATGTAAAAATATCTACGCAAATGGGGCATTGTGGTGGACTCAACAATAAATCCTTGTTTGGGAGATTCTCTTAAAAAATTCAAACATAATGATTTAAATAAAACTTTTAAGTACATTTAAAACAATATTTCAAAAAAATATTTTCTTTTCCTATTGGCTAATCATGCCACAATTGCAAAATCGTCAACTTCTCCTTTCCCATTTCTCACTTTATTTGACAATGTGCTCTACGATCGAAAATCAGGCACTGAATTAAACAATATTATGCATTCTGTTGCAAATAAAGGGAATTGTTTTCCCTAATATAAGGAATTACAGCCAAATAAGTAATTATTTTTTATGTAATGTCAAAGGTCAAATCGGAAAGATCAGAAAAGTCCATCACTGTGTTTTTGTCTCAGGGCCATGTGATGGCCAAGAGGATATTCGACACCTACTCCCCCCACGAGGATGATGCCATGATCCTCTTCCTCAACATGGTGACCCGGGGCCGAGTCCTCATCTTCACCATAAAGGTCAGTCACTGTCCATGATCAGATATCAGTTATTCCTGTGATGTTCATACAGGCATGTCTCAACTGGTTTTTGTCTGCAGGATGAAGGCACGTTCCACCTGAAGGATGCTGCTAAGAACCTGCTGAAGACTCTGGGCAGCCAGGTGTCCCTCAACCTCAGCTGGAGGGACATGTGGACACTGGTGGTGAAGAAAGGAGGTAGAGGAGCACACTTTCGCTTTACATGTAGAACTAACTCAGGGGTTTCAAAACGTTTTCACTTGGGCCTCATACATAAAATATACGAAAGGCTGGGCCACTCACTAGAGGTGAGATATATTGCCTCATAAATTCAGTTACAAGATAGCAAAATAAATACAATGTAGGTAAACATATGCTTGATACTTGAATATGCTTTAAGAAAATAGAACAGCCTAGATCACAGCTTTTCATAGGGTTTTCATTATTTTATATAAGTTATTGGGCTTTTTTTTTAATGAACTAGGATTTGTTAGAAAAAACTTCAACTTGAATTGACTGAATTTATTTGAAGCGTGGGCTTATTAACACATGAATCCTACTGTGTAATATATTTGTACATATATATTTAAGATGTACGATATAAGACAAGCACACGTTTCAGGTGTGGGCTATATTCCAATATACTTTTAGAATTTGCTGAGGGCCAATCAAAAATGGACAACGGGCCGCAGTTGGCCCCCAGGCCGTAGTTTGGACACCCCTGACCTAACTCTTTCTAATGCCGTATAATTACCCCAAAACATTTTTGGGGCAGGTTGACATCCATTTTTTTCTTAGTTTTTCATAAAATCACTCGTGTTGAATGGATTGTCTATGTGGTGATTTGTTATGTTGTTTATTCTGTACACACGACATCTATTGGACGTTTGCATGTACGGGGAGAGTGATCCCTCCCCCTTTGGGAGTGTTTCCTTGTGCACTGCAAGTATCTAAAGACAGATGGTGTCGTAAGCTGTGCAGTCTGAAAAGCACCCAGAGACAAATTCTATCTTCAGTTTTGAAATATTAGGCTCTAAAAATACATTTCGATTAATTCATTGTTGACAAACTGAATGTTTGTCCATAAATTCCAGACTTCACTGAAGTACTTCTTTGAATCCAAAGCTGATATAAATAAGAGCTGAGTTAGGGTGTTGGTTGTTTTCAGATGCTGTGCTGATGCATGAGTAAACCAGGGTTGGTTTTAATTGCCCTGAATGCATCGTTTTATTTAAATAATGTCCAGAAAACAATATAATGTTTTATATTTTTTCTAAAAACAATGCATCAAGAAGAGACATTTTGAGATTCCCTTTAGATTCTTTCAGTTTATTTTAGTTTTGGTTCTGATATTTGTCTTACTACAGTTGAGCTTCAGTGTTTCAGTTAAGCTTTAATGTTGTTTTATTTGACATAATTGAACATTATATTCCATGATTAATCGCTCCGGTTTGCTACGACACTTTACATTGGTGTCTGTTTCATTTTTCATATTTACTCAAGAGTAAAAAAATAAATAATTGGTGAACACTGCTTCTCAATGTCACAGAAGGATTGCTTAGCTTGTTAAACTAGTTTGACGCATACGCTCAACCACAACAAAGTGATCAACTTCTTCACAAAATCAGCAGCTTGTGTATGGCTGCACGCTCCAAAACTGTGCCAATAACTGCCACCTGTCCTGGTTAGCTCACTTACCTAACCAGTTGCACAAAATATACCACCCAGTGTTAAGAAAAAGAACAATATCAACATATACTTATGAAAAACGATGCAACATAGAACAACAACTCGGGGTTAAGGGGACGGGATGACTATTTAGTTAGATTTTAAAATGCATTTAATTATCACATTTTGTTATGATTTTACACGTTCTGACCTCCTTACTGTGTTGGCCGTTCCAGGTCAGGTGTATGGAGAGAAGCACTCAAAGTCTCCAGCTCTGTCCACCTGGGGGGACCCGGTGCTGCTGAAGACTGAGGTGCAGCTCACCGCCTCTGAAGGTAACACACAGTTCTAGTCTGACCATGTCTTGTTAATGCAAAGCTTCTTTAAGGCCAAAACCTGACCAAACCAAAAAGACCCAGACTAGTGATGACTAAGTGACTGTAATCCCCCGTCCTTGCAGAGGCAGAGTGCCACTGGGCCGACACGGAGCTGAACAGGAGGAGGAAGCTCTTCTGCAGCAAAGTGGAAGGATACGGCAGCATCTGCAGCTGCAAAGACCCGGCGCCCATCGAGTTCAGCCCTGACCCCGTAAGACACACACTGGACTCTTTACTTTTCTGTGTTGCATGTTTTTTTCATTGTTCTGCACTTAATTAAGAAGAGCTGAAGAGTTCAAAAAGTAAGCAGTGTTGAGACTATTGGTTAACATAATTTCATAAAAAGCATATTTTAGGAATAGTTATCTTAAAGTGGACCTATCATGCTATATTTGAATAATATATTGTATGACCATACCTACTGTATATAAGGTATATTTATAAGTTTTCTTTTTCAAAATACCAAACAGATCATGCATTTTAGCCATGCCTCATTTCGCTCTATTTTGCTGTCCTCCACCCTGTCTTTGCATGCGCTGCAGCTGACCACGCCCCCCTGCAAAGGAGGGGGCCGAGTTACGAGCGTCGTGTTACCATGCTGTTACCATGCCACGACAACCTCTCATTCCCCTTATAGGTCAGCTCCTCCGTCCTGACGTCAGAGGAATGTTCAAATCTGGATCAGTTTTTATCAGATCCGTTGCAGCCCCTTTTTTAGAGATTTGGGTATGGAGGAAAATAGAGAGGGTTGTGTTTTCTGACACTTGGTGAGTTCCCTGGAACACCGGGGACACATATTCATGTATAAAAGACGTACAAAAGTGCATTTTGCATTATAGGTCCCCTTTAAATGTATTTACTTTTTGGCTATATATAGGCTTCAGGGGGGGCAGATGAGTGAGTATTATTACTATTTCACAGAGCTTCTCTTCCTTTTTTCTCTCTTCCTGGTGAACGTAATATCAATCTTATCATTTAACTTTCTGCAGGGAAGCCAATTGGCATATTTTCACAAAATATAGAGCTATTGCTTGCAATTCAATTAATGTGAATCATTGTAAAATCGCTGCGTGTAAACATGGATGTTTAAACGGTATATACGGGTTAGTGCGCTGATCTTCGGATCAAGGGAGCACAGGTTCAAACCCCACTGCAGTCAGCATGTCGTTGTGTCCCTGGGCAAGACACTTCACCCCAAATTGCTCCTGAGGAGATTGCCCACAGTATTGAGTGTATTTAAGTTGCTTTGGGTAAAAGCGTCTAACAAGTGACATGTAATGTTAAAACATTTTACAAAAGTATCAGTGGTTGCGTTTCAGGGTCGTAAAAATTCAGTCAAAGCCAATCATTTTGTGAAAGTTCAGCACACATGAGCACATATTACAGTTTAAAAGAGCAAAATACAATCTGAGCTAACAGAAAATGCCCCAGTTTAGTTTAATACATACAGTTAACACACACTATTGTATGCACATATAGGTTCACCTACTGAATTCCAAGGAAAGTTACAAACTATAAATAGGAATAGATTCACACTTAAAGTATTAGCCTACAGAACAGTTCAGCTTCCAAAGAGGAAATCAAATCTGATCTCTTTGCATCAAACACAATATGCTGTTTTTTTTCTTTTTTAGTGACAGTGTAATCTCGTTGGTAATCCTCAATTTTCTGATATCTACCAGTAATCTGATTGTCTTGTTATTTTTAACCATAAGGGAATACAGTTAATTGTTTTCTATCCTGATTGCATAATCGCATTTGATACTCCACAAGGTGAGGTGTTGTAGAGATTTTTCCCTGAAGCTGAGTCAATTTGGGGGGGGGGGGGGGGGCTCAGGATGTTTATTTAATAGACCTCTCTCAGGTAGGAATAAGCCTCATTTAGCTCTCCTTTCAGCGATCCTCCCACAGCAGAAAGATAAGTGTGTCTCCTCATTAAGAGGGATGCTGCAGGCATTTCCACACGGACACATCTCACTGAATATTTATATCTCGTTCTTTTCTCATGTGTTTTCATAAATGACATGTAAGGGAGCTCTATTCATTAATTTGTCATGACACAACCGTCACTGCATCCTGTCACTATGTCAGTGCAGTGACTGCGTCCAAAAAAAAAACGAGTTTTAGCAGACTCCTCTTATGCGCTTCACTTGCCACCAACTCCCTGAAGACGCTAATGACTTCACTGTTACTGGTCTTTGTGAATTGGATAGATTTTTGCAAAGAGGCTCATTTGCATAGAAAGGGGCCAATTTCCCTACAAATGAATGCGTATCACCTAATTTAAAGAGGTGCATATTGCGCAGGGGAAGAATAGCGCAGTTACTGTATGAATGCATTTCACCCTTTGCTGGTGCTTTGAGAATTACAACGTTTTTTTTGGTCTTATTGTTGTTACAGGTTTAGTGGACGTAAAAGTCGCACAATCCTTTTGTGAATTCTCTGTGTTCTAATCTGTCGAAATGACAGGCAGCTTTTAAATCTTTCCATAAGAAACTACTAATTTTGTCTAATAAACAGGCCCTATTATGCTTTTTGGGGGTTTCCCTTTCCTCTACTGTGTTATATAGGTTTTTTGTGCATGTAAATGGTCTGCAAAGGCTAAAATCCCCAAATTCACACTAGAGTTTTTCTCTCACACACACTCCTTTGTTTACTTCAGTGACATAGTTACATCATTATGTAACACTCGCGCTTCTATTGGCTAGGGCTCCAACATATTGTAAGTGAAAGGCTAAGGGGCCTGACATCTCTAAGCGGTTGACCAATCACAACAGAGCCGGCCAGCTAACCAATCAGAGCAGACTGGGCTCTGGTTTCAGACAGAGGGTGAAAAGAGGTGCTGCAGCACAGGCAGTATGAGAACAATAAAGACATTTTTGAACATTAAAGCATGGAAACATGTCACAGAAGAGACAGAAAATACAAATATTAAACCTAAAAATCAGCATAATAGAGCCCTTTTTTAAAGTAAAACAGGGAAATGACCATCGTCTCCCCTAAGATTATATAAAATACCTTAACATATAAAGCGCTTATGTTTTATGTATCGTCTATATGTCTTTCCACAACACAGCTAAGTCTTCATACTTAGCTGTGTAGTAGATGTGTATTATACAATTTGAAGTCACAGTTATTTCACTCTACACGCTATTGTCAGAATAATACTCATCGTGAGGGCTTCACAGTGTCCCACATTATTTCACTCCCTATCATTTTCTGTCTCCAGCTGTCCAACAATAACGTCTTCAGTGTCCCAGTGGCCGTCATAGCAGGGAACAGACCCAACTACCTCTACAGGTAAGATCTGAAAAATAACCATGTAACCAATTGAAAAGTATTATAATGCTGTTTCCTGTTCTATGAAATGCAGCAGAAACAGCTAATTGCTCCAAAAGAGTTAATATTTATTATTTAGATTTTCAAACAAACAGAATATTTAGGATTTTTGATGTTTACCTGTCATCAAAAAAGGATAACAATTTTTTTTTGGTATTTCATTAATAAACTGCATTTCAGCAACTCTGAGTTTTCCATGAAGATAAACGAGTCCTGCAGACGGTGAGCATTCCGAGATGTAAATGACTCGGTGCTCTAGTTGGCATTTTTAATTTATTTTACACAATATAACCCCAGTTTAAAACAGAGTAATGGCTGCAATAAGCCTCTTTTGTGGAGGCACAATGAAGAACGATGGCAGCTCCTCCCTCAGAAATACATTTGGCATTAATAAAAGGGGAAATTACAATCAAGCTGTCCTCCCTTTGTCAAATTGGTACAAATCACGTTGTCTTACCAAAAGTAAATTGCACCCATTTGTCCCTTGTGCCTTAAACAAAGTTACTAGAGCTAATTATCGTTTGTTTTCAGGATGCTGAGGTCGCTGCTTTCAGCTCACGGCGTCAACCCGCTGATGATAACGGTCTTCATCGATGGATATTATGAGGTACCAGGTTTTTGTTTCCTCTTTTTTTTTCTAACATCATAACCTACGGTATTGATACTGGTCATAACACAGTATAAATGCAAATATTATGGTACTTTTAGTGAACATTTTAAACACTTGGTGTTATACTGTAGGCAATATTAAACATATATAAAAGTGTTGATACAATAATGTGAGTTTCGGTACTGATACATAAATTATGCTTGATTTGACAACTTACTTTTAGAATTAAGTTAAGTTTGAACTTAAAAAGGTCAAAAACGGGAAAAATGTTAATTCAAATCAGGAAATCAAATCAACTTTTTAGTATACGACTATGTTTGAGACTCTGAAGTATAGTCTTATTTCTATTTCCACCATATATTGGTTCATTAGCCAGTAGCAGCCATTCAGGGTTTGTCCAGGTGCTAGAAATCCTTGACAAACAATGTATTGTGACGTTTAAAAGGTTTGAAAAGTGCTTGGATTTTAGAACAAAGTGCTCCTTATCGTGGAGAGTAAAGTAGAGTTTTGACTTTCATTAGACATTCTTCTGTAAAATACTGTCAAAAAACAACATTTTGGTTGTTTGAAGCACAATAACATCTGATTTAATGTGATAAAGCAGTGAAATAATTAGTTTATTGTACGTAATGAATTTAAAAATGTTTTTCTTGCTCTAGCTGTGAGATGCTGGAAAACATTGTTGAAAAACAAAACACTATGTTTTTGTTTGCCTTACAGTTCCACTATATCCACCTGGAGGCTTACCTCCGCTCCACCACTCATATCTTTTTGTTTGTGTTCTCCACCCAGGAACCCATGGATGTGGTAGAGCTGTTTGGACTGAAGGGAGTTCAGCACACGCCCATCAGCATCAAGAATGCCAGAGTGTCCCAGGTAACGTCTAGCACCCTATTTAAGGGTTAAAACATACTGTATCTCATCTCACAGATTTTCAAGTAAAAAAAGAAACAAGTCATTTTCACCTTGATGTTATGTTTCCACTGTGTGCCTCAGAACTGTTTGGAGGTTAAGCCATATTTGAATTCATTAAAGTGACATCCAAGAGATTTACTATTAAAACGTTTTGCTTATATTGTGTGAAACATTGCTTTCTGTTACAGCACTACAAGGCGAGTCTTACTGCAACCTTCAACCTTCATCCTGTAAGTACTCTGGTTTCCTTTTCCTCAAAACAAACAAAGACCAGTTATTCTTTAATGTATTTGATGAATGAGCAATCGGATGTGGGCTTTTTCCATCATAAACAGCCTTTAAAAAAAAATTATTGATCAGTTTATTCATTTATCACAACTGTCAGTTAACATTAAGCTTGGGAGTTAATACAGTGGATTTCCCTTTTCATTACTGACCCAGTTTCTATACATTTTATTCTCATCAGGAAGCCAACTATGCCATAGTCATAGAAGAAGACCTGGATCTCTCCATCGACTTCTTCAGGTACGTTCTCCAGAATGCTCAAACTCTGACAACTGAGTAATTAGACACGTGAGTAGAGCGGAAATAATAAGTGAACTTATCAATGAATTCATGTTTCAAAATAGTTATTGGCAACTATTACCATTATCTCTTAATTCACTCTCAAGCAAAACACCAAACATTTGCACGTGCAGCATCTCAAATGAGATGAACTGCTTTTCATTGTCATACTTTACTTAAAGTGGACCTATCATGCTATATTTAAATGATATGTTGTAGGGCCATACCTATATAAGGTATATTTATACGTTTCTGTTTTCAAAATACCAAACAGATCATGCATTTTAGCCATGCCTCATTTCGCTCTATGTGCTGTTTGCTGTCTACGGGTCTGATTCTGCTGACCACGCCCCCCTGCAGGAGAGGGGAGACGTGCTCTGATCAGCTGCTGGGCTGTCAGAAGAGGGGGAGAAAAAGAGATCTCCGTCCTCCGTGTTTTATTATATAGAGTCGTTATTCATTTGTTTTGAAGCTCAATAAATAACAAAGAAGACCTTTGACCGGCACTTTTCTAATTTTGTCCGGAAGATTTAAACTTTAACGGACATCTTGACCTGCGAAAGAAACTGAAACTGAAACTCTGCCGCACGGTCCCCTCGTTCCTTGGAAGAGGCGGAGAGGTGGGTGTTTGTCATCTGCTGGTGGACTAACCGGAGAGAATTACAGTGCTTGCCTCGACGGGGAGGGATTGCATTGAATTAAAGCATGGTTACCAAGGGTAACCATGGTAACTATGGGCAGGAAGTCTTCTTCGCTGCTTTTGTGGCAGACTACAGCGCTACTTACAGGCCTGGCATATGTACTACAGCGTCTCCAGCGCTTTCGAGCGGCAATGGCCGGCCGTGGCCCAACCCCACATTCCCTTGATAGGTGGAGAGTTGGCCCAATAGCCGTAGCGCCACTTCTGTGACGACATAGAAGTGTTCAAATCTGGATCAGTCTGTATCAGATCCGTTGCAGCCCCTTTTTTAGAGATTTGGGTATGGAGGAAAATAGAGAGGGTTCTCTTTTTCTGACACTTGGTGAGTTCCCTGGAACACCGGGGACACATATTCATGTATAAAAGACGTACAAAAGTGCATTTTGCATGATAGGTCCCCTTTAAATAAATGTGTTTAGAATCTCCAGCTAATTGATATAAATAGTTGATATGCATTCCTGTCACTTCATTAAACCTCTTAATCGAACTTTGCTTTTTTGTCTTGTGTACTGTTTATGGGAAGAATATCCAAAATAAATGAAAAGAAGATGTGTATTTTAATTTTCAGTTAATTGCAATCTAATTAATTAATTTCAAATCTAATAACTGTAAGGTGGCTAGAGGTATTTTTTTGATATTGTAAACAGGTTTTTTTTGACAGATATTAACATGAACTCTGTTTTTTTCCCCGTCCCTTCCCCTCATAATGATTATGATTAATAGCACAGCCAAAATTAACTGAATGTAGAGAACAAACAGCTGTTCACTGGAGCTATTCCCAATGACTTCATTTGACATTAAATTAGGTTTATGCTTATTCTTATTTATTTTGTATGCACATAAGCTATGATTAAAATTGCCATCATGTTGAAGAACGTGTTCTGTACCTCACAGCATCAGCACAGCATCAGCACAGCATCAGCACAGCAGACCCTCTCAGCTGCCACAGTGGCCACTAGGTGGCAGTAGATCCAAAGTGTTGAAGCATATTTAAACAGTGTTAGAAACCCGGCCTTCCTTTGTTGGACACTCAGGGCTTTGAACTGTGTGTTTTGGGTTCTAAAAGCTCCAGCTCCACTCCTGGGCTGACCGGCCCGTTTGATGCACCGACTTCAAACTGCTGAGAAGCACTTTCAGCCGTCATCTCACTTCATTCTGCTCTCTGATACGTGCTTCAGGCTCTCTGTTACAGAGCAGTGAAAACCCTCCTGTCAACAAAGACAAGCTTTTTGTTACTCTGCTGCTATAAATAGTCCTAACAACGTCCTAAATTCAAAAAATTCAAATGTAAAACGACAGAATTATAGAATTGTCTTGTATTAGAGTTCATAATTGATTTATGATTTCTTCAAGATTAAGCAAATGTAATGAAAAATCAAACATCATATAATATTATTTTAGACTGAAAGCCAGATCTTTTCACCTAATGTAAACCCCATGCACACAAGGGTTTTAACACACTGACCTCCAGTCAGGTTCAATACCCGCCAACAAATAAATAATTAAAAAAACTTTTCTTTCATTGACAATGTAAATTAAATTGTATATGTTCAGAATAAAACACTGACAGTTAAAGAATTAGCAAGTGCACAAAGTTATAGGACCTTGTCAAACTCTGACTCAAACCCATCCTAACAATAAAAGATTACTGGAAAAATCCAACTTTATCTAACTTTGAATTCAGGTGCAGCAGACCTAATGTACTTCAACACTATGTAATGCGTAGGCCATTTTTTTAATTCTGTTTTGAGAGCCAATTTAAAGGGGACCTATCTTGCAAAATGCACTTTTGTATGTCTTTTATACATGAATATGTGTTCCAGGGAACTCACCAACTGTCAGAAAACACAACCCTCTCTATTTTCCTCCATACCCAAATCTCTAAAAACGGGGCTGCAACGGATCTGATAAAAACTGATCCAGATTTGAACACGTTACTGACGTCAGGACGGTGGCGCTAAGGCTATTGGGCCAACTCTCCACCTATCAGGGGAATGTGGGGTTGGGCCACAGCCGGCCATTGCCGCTCGAAAGCGCTGGAGACGCTGTAGTACATATGCCAGGCCTGTAAGTGGCGCTGTAGTCTGCCACAAAAGCAGTGAAGAAGACTTCCCGCGCATGGTTGCCATGGTTTCCCTTCTGTTTATTCTCCGCTGTGGCTTTTTTTCTCCCTCCCCGAGGCAAACGTTTGCTCCTGCTGCTTTAATTCAATGCAATCCCTCTCCGTCGAGGCAAGCACTGTAATTCTCTCCGGTTAGTCACCAGCAGATGACAAACACCCACCTCTCCGCCTCTTCCAAGGAACGAGGGGACCGTGCGGCAGAGTTTCAGTTAGGTTTTCTTTCGCCGGTCAAGATGTCCGTTAAAGTTTAAATCTTCCGGACAAAATTAGAAAAGTGCCGGTCAAAGGTCTTCTTTGTTATTTATTGAGCTTTAAAACAAATGAATAACGACTCTATATAATAATATAATAAAACACGGAGGACGGAGATCTATTTTTCTCCCCCTCTTCTGACTTGATCAGAGCACGCTCCCCTCTCCTGCAGGGGGGCGTGGTCAGCTGCAGCTCACAGAATCAGCCCCCTGCAAAAACAGGGCTGGAGAACAGCAAATGGAGCGAAATGAGGCATGGCTAAAATGCATGATCTGTTTGGTATTTTGAAAACAGAAACGTATAAATATACCTTATATAGGTATGGCCCTACAATATATCATTTAAATATAGCATGATAGGTGTCCTTTAAATCGCCCAACAAACAAGAAATGTGTGAAAATGTGATCAACTACCCCTAACCGGAAACAAAAAGCTACTTTAATGGTAATTGTTATGGAGCAGCTTTATACATAGTAGCATACTCGTCAATGTACTAATAAAACAACATGAGGTTGTGTGTGTAGCTGTAAATGTGACTAATCAGCGCAATAAATATACACTTCTATAAATGGCTAATGTGACTGCCATTTCTGCCATGTTCAGGTGTCAACTTATATTTTGCCCATGTAGTTAGACATATAAATATATAAGATCCCGAATATGCGCCTCTAAACAAACTATACACTTTTTCTCTGGTTAAAGTTTTGTCAATTTACCAGCTGCTCACTGGAATCTTGCTGCTCAATTGGTCCAAGAACTGGTTCATATTTTGATATTTTGTCTTAAAATGTGTATTTGAAATGTACCGTCTTGTGCAACAAGGCATATTTATTATGATTTTGTCATTTGTAATACTGATGTAGCTACTAATGTCTGTCCTAATATTGCTCCTCTGTTTCCCCTTTAGTTTTCTGAGTCAGACGGTCCACCTGCTGGATGAGGATGACAGTCTGTACTGCATCTCAGCCTGGAACGACCAGGTGAGTCCTGGCTGCTCCACCTGCTCACCTTCTTCCTGCCCTTCCTCTTAAAGCTCCAGCTAAACTCAAATCCACCTCCTTTTTAGCCAGCCTTCATATTTATTTATGTTCTCGATACATTATTGGCCTGTCTAGTTGAAACTGAGGAAGAATTTATGAACTTGCATCAAAGAAGCATTCCAGCAGTGATGCTTAATAAGTATGTCTGTGAGCTCCATGTCTACCGCAAAGTTTTTATATAATTTATTTTTATTTGTAAGTGCAATTGCATTTGACGAATGCATATTAGAAGGCTAAGCTGTACGGACATGAAAACCCCGATACCTGATTAACAATGGTTTTTCTATTTTGGAACATTTTCCCAGACAACCTTTGACTTTCATATTCAGGCCAATGAAACAGGGGTTGGCTGTATGCTAGCCTACTTGTAAAAATGAGCAGGCATCAATTTTGCTTGACTAAATGCTACCATGGCTAAGCAATTTTTAACGTTTCTTTAACGTAAAGGCTATATTCTGGACCAAATATTAGTTTTTTTTCGAATAAACGCTTGCTAATAACTATGGCCATTAGTTACTTAACTGTGTACAAATCTGTAAGGACTTTCCACTGTTTACATAATATAACTTATTTTCTTCCCACGCATTCTGCTTTACACATAGCCCAGTTCAGACAGCCAAAGGCATATTGACTTTCAATAGCTGATTATCCTTTTGATGCATATGTGTGTCTCGTTACCTGTTTTCGGCTGCGTAACTGACATCTGTAAATCTCTGGAGGAGATAGGATTGTTTGGACTCAACAAAAGAACATGTGATGAGGAGATCTATCAGTTCTCTTTTAACCCCGGGGTGTAACTCAACATGATCCACAGTGTAAGGAGACACCACAGGATCTGGTTTTCTTGTTCTGTGCTCCTAAATATAGAACATCAAAGCACTTTATCTTGTTATTCTCTCCTTTTTTAATGTTCTTTCTGCCTCAATGTGGCCTCATTATTTTCCTACCCACTGATTGACCTGCAGGAAGGCTTGATGCCCACAGAGAAGTTGCATATGTGACAGCTTTTGTTTTGGTTGTTGTTGTTGTTCAGGGCTATGAGCACACAGCAGAAGACCCCGCCCTGCTCTACAGAGTGGAGAGCATGCCCGGCCTGGGCTGGGTGCTAAAGAAGAGCCTCTACAAGGACGAGCTGGAGCCCAAGTGGCCGACCCCTGAGAAGGTGCAAGATTTATGAACCCTATCCGGTGCTTTTGCATGTTTTCTTCATCTGTTACCAGTTATGGTTCCTTTGAAAATTATACTATACTGTATCTCAGTTATTTAGTCAATTAAGGATTAGTGTATTGACGTTTGCAGACAATGTTAGACATAAGTAGATACTAGGTAATGAAGAAAGTAGAATATTGAGGAGCTAAATAGCCGTATGAGCAAACCAGAGCTCAAAGAAAGATGGGGACACTTTTTTAAATGGTCGGAATGTGTGTGTAAGGTTTGAATTTGAAGGCGTAAGAAAGTGCAGAAACCACCTGCATGTGCCTGAGAACTCTTTGTGTGCGTTTTCTCTTGTAGCTGTGGGATTGGGACATGTGGATGCGAATGCCTGAGCAGAGGAAAGGCAGAGAGTGCGTCATCCCCGATGTGTCCCGCTCCTACCATTTTGGAATCATCGGCCTCAACATGAACGGATATTTCCACGTAAGATCTCAGAGAAACGTTATTATATTTCTTTAATTTAAATAATAAAGCTCTATAATATACGTTAAAGCTGTAACGCAGGGTGAAACCATACAGCATTGAAGTCTTATATAAGGCCATTTATTTTCCTGCTGTCATACTTTTTTTGTAATTGACTTGAATAGTCCTGTAGACAACAAAATATTCTGTGAGACGTGTTTTTTCTTAATCTTCAAGGTGAAACACTATTTGATGATCTATAATTAATGTCTATTTCTGTCTCAGGAGGTGTATTTCAAGAAACACAAGTTCAACACTGTTCCCAACGTGCAGCTGAAGAATGTTTACAGGTTTGTAATCTCCGATTTTGAGATTTCCTATCACCGGTTTTATGCTTTTCATATCATGAGTCCTTTTGTGGAAAATAATTATGCAACACAGTCACAGTCTTGGTGTTCTTTACAGCTTAAAGAAGGATGCGTATGAAGTGGAGATCCTGAACCTGCTGAAGTGAGTGTGATACACACTGAGCCTGTAGGTGATGTAGATGACATTAAGAATGTTTAAATTCAATGTTGTGTGTGTGTGTTCCCAGGGAAGCAGAGGTGCTGGACCACAGCAAGAACCCGTGTGAGGACTCGTTCCTTCCAGACACAGAGGGGAAGACCTACGTCATGTTCATTAAGATGGAGACGGAGACAGACACCTCCACCTGGACAGAGCTCGCCAAGGTACTCAGTCAGAGCTGGAACATGGCTGGTGGACTTTTAATAGGTCCATGTCAGTGGTTAATAGAAACGATTAACCACCTGTTCCCAAATCATACCATCAGTTATTCCATTGATGTCCTACCTTTCAGGCAGTCCCTGAATTCAGTAAAATATATTTTATTTGTTTTAAAGGTCACCTGTTATGCAAATCCACTTTTTCATGTATTTTACAATAAATATGTGTCCTCTCTGTGTGAAGAGATTCTGAAAGTTTCAGGAAAAAAGATTCTCTCTCTTTTTGTCCTGATCCATCTATATCTATATCCATCATATAAAAACCGGTCTGAAAATGAGCTGATCAGATTTTGGCCACTTTGTGAATGTAAATGTTTTTTTCGCTTTGTATAATATTTGTTTCTGTATTCTTTCACATCAAACACCTAAGCTAGGTTTATATTCCTGTGATTTATTTGTTCAATTTGATAGATTTTGTTAATCAGATCAGAAATCAGAAACCGGTTTATTACCAGGTAGGTTTACACTTACGAGGATTTTGACTAGGTGTCGTGGTGCATACATAAAAGTAAAACAATTAAAACACAGATAGAGTACTAGAAAAAATATAGTTAAATATAACAGTTTTTACATTGCAATGCAATGGAATAAAATACGGAATAAAAATAAAAATCGGCAGTAATAAGAAAAGAAAACAGATATTGTTGTACATTGTGTGCATTAATGTAATGCATAGAGTCTACGTTGTGGCTGAGGTAAAGTGTCAGTGGGGGGGCCGGGCCTTGTTTAAGAGGCCGGTAGCGGAGGGGAAGAAACTGTTCAGGTGGCGAGAGGTTTTGGTCCTGATGGAGCGCAGCCTCCTGCCAGAGGGGAGGGGGGTGAACAGTTTGTATCCACGGTGGGAGGGGTCGGCCACTATCTTCCCTGTCCGCCTCAGGGTCCTGGAGGCGTGCAGGTCGTGGAGGGATGGCAGATTGCAGCCGATCAGCCTCTCTGCAGAGCGGATGATTAATTGTGTAAATTAGCTTATATATAAGTTAAACTAACCTTCACTGTCAATATGTTTTGGGTATTATATTTGGTCATTTTATAGTTGTGGTGGTCAGGTACTACAGTTTATTCTTAGAGCTGTTTCGTAAACTGATATTGACGCCTTACCTTTGTCACAGGAAGAAAATATATAAGGCAAATATGTGTTATGCTTTTGCTGAACCTTTCCATAATGAACAGGATTATAATTTGTGTCCTTCTTCTGCTGCTCAGTGCCTCCATGTTTGGGACCTGGATGTTCGGGGATACCACAGCGGCCTGTGGCGGCTCTTCAGGAAAAGAAATCATGTCCTGGTGGTGGCCGTGCCAATCTCCCCATACTCGTGAGTAAACTCAATTTATGCGTCAGTTATACTTTTGTTCGTAAAGATTGCATGGTCCACCCTATGTACATTTCCTCGTCTGTCTATGTTTGTGTTCAGTAAAAAAATATGACACGCAGATTCAGTTACACATTTGAAATGAAAACATTTCAAAATGTCATAAAATGTCACAATTGTATTTGTGTCAAATAAGCAGATACTACTCTACTACTGCTGAAATACAACATATTGCAAGAATGAGGGTCGATCATTAGCTTTACAGGTTCATCTGCAGTATTGCATCTTGTGGCTTCAGATGGTACTGCGCAGAAAAAGCAGACCTGAGGCTAAATCATCTAAAAAATCTGGTTAATGAAAACTTGGGGAAAAGATTAGCCTCACTTTCATGTTGCTCCTCGGTGTGTTCGAGGCACATGCCTTTACAGATAGCTGTTTGGGTTAAAGTGCATCTGCTCACTCAGACACTTAACTTAAGAACTTAAGTGTAATAACTCTTTAGATCTGTGCTTGTTCCAGAACTCACATCCCTGCTTAAATAATATTGAAACAATGGTTGTGTGATCATGGAAACTGGGTGTAGTACCCAGGCGTCTCCACATAGATATCAAGGTTTGACGATAACTCGTACATGAATCCATAACGCAAATTATGGAAGATGAGACCCAAAAGCAACGACCCAACAACAAACATTACTGATCTTCAGCTTGACTTTTATACTTTTTTGACTGTGGACAATTATTTTTGTATCTTGTGTTTGCTCTTTTTGTCTTCTGTAGTTTAATTTAAAGGTGGGGTAGGTAAGTTTGAGAAACCGGCTCGAGATACACTTTTTGTTATATTCCATGGAATGCTCTTAACATCCCGATAGCAATGAATATCTTAAGTGCTTTGACAACAAATCCATTAAAAAATGTCATCTGTGGAAGCCTATAGTACTATAAAAAGCACGACCAATCATTTTAGCCGGCCCGGCTAAAGTAACTGGATGGCCTACCTGCCTGTCAGCCTTCCATCTGTGCACAAACTTATCTCGTGCCCTCATTGGTCATGTGCGCGTTCGTGTGTGTTGAAGGAGGGGCTCTGTAAGGAAGTGGCAGATTTTCTCCGGTTGTGTATTTTCAAATTCTAGAGATCTCGAGCCGGTTTCTCAAACTTACCTACCCCACCTTTAAGCAGATTTATTCATAGTAAATCATCAACAACCATTGTTTCTATTTGTTTTTGTTGCCATACGGTAGGTGAAAAATGACACTTTTGAGTAGAATCCAACAGATAACCTTCCCCCAACGCAGCGGCAAACCCAAATTTCACTATATTTCCTTTTTCTCATCTTTCTCCACTGCCTGTCCACTCTCTGTCTCCTTCTTCCTGTCTCTCCATCTCTGTCTCACCACCTAGTGAGAAGAAACCAACCGGTGTCACTCCCATTCAGTTAGATCCTCCGCCCAAAGAAGAGGGAGCCGTGGTGGATCAGGTGTAGCCCCGATGTTACACTCTGTCGCACACATGCACACTACAACCAGCCCAGGCCTTAACTACAACAACAACCACTAAAAATCCAGCCTGGGACCCACAAAAGACGTTCTGACTTTTCCTAGATTGTGTACGAGGGGACACCTGGGAAATGGAGTTTCTTATTTTTCAACGAAAGAGGGGTTAACACTACAAACTGCACTACTACATCCGTCCAACAGCTTGAGGAGGAACGTTGTTGCAAAAAACAGTTTTTGGTGACTGAACAACCGAGACAGTATATGACTGTCAACAGCTGTCTCTTTCTGTTGCTGTGACAACTGTGACGGCTCCACGGTCTGTTACATTTCATTTCAAGCTGTGACTTTTTCAGCGACAACGGTACAAATTACGCAAATCAAACACTCACCACATTTCGGAGGTTGTTGTGTTTTTTTAACTACTACTTTTTGTACATACGTTTTAACTTATCTCTATTTATTTTACATCTATCAATCAAAAAAGGAGTTTAGTGGTTTGTTTGCTATTTTCTTTCCTTTTTTAAATATTCACTTTTATCAAGATCGGTGCATTTTTTTTTTTTAAAAAGCCTAACGTTTACAGATAATGAAATAATAATGTATATACATGCCTATATATATTTTTTAATGAAAATGTAAAGGGTCAGCATCTTTTTAAGCGTTCGATATTGAGTTTGAGTGAAAGAGTTCATAACAGACCTGTGGGATTCAACTATAATTTACTGCTCGGGTCAGCCTGATCAGGTTTCATGAGGGAAACTCTACGGTGGCTAATAAGGGACAAAAGAGAGAACATATCCATTCATTTAGCAATATGGCTACTCTGATTCTGCCATAGTCATGCTTTTTAAGCTCAAACAAAACAAATTATTAAAACAATTATTTTTGCTAATTATACATTTTTGATCAGATAGTTCCTCATATTTTATTATTTATAGAAGTTCATGCTTAACCTTCAATTATTAACCTCAAAACAAATCATAAAATACATTTTTCTAGTTTAATTTTAGTCCTCTTTATTTTGGAAAAAACTGTCCTTTTTTCTTTAAGTTAAAATAAATAAACATTTCAGTCTTACAAGTCACTGCATATTATCTTTTACAAGGAGCCTGTTCTCTGTGTTGGCCTCTGTCAGCCACCGTAGGGTCAGAACAGAACGTTGTGACTTTACACGGTTAATATTTATGTAGGTGCAATACAGAAAGCTCATCTCGGTGTTTGCAGACTACAGGTAACTGACTGCTTCCATTGCTGAACTATTTAAGAGCCACAGAACAGACACATATTCGAGGGTCTTTGTGTGTTTTATGAATTAAAACAACTGCTGTCCTCGAATCAAATAGCAGCAGGGTGAACTCATCTCTTTTACAGCTGACAAAGTGATTTTGTTATTTGCCTTATGATCAGTTTTCTGTGGTTAAGAAGTTGGGAGGTTCTAAAACATACAGTAAACGTCCATATGTCAACAACTGTATTGATACTCCAATATATGACAGTTAACATCTTTATACACGAAATAAGAAAGATCATGGTTGCTGCTATAGTATTAGGGTGAATACAAATATCCAAATTGATCAAATTATGTCAGCGACTCTCACAGCTGTGTCCTTACCAAGAGTTTTTATGTTCTTGTTCTATCATCACACACTTCATTTAGCTTTTTATTTAAATGTCCAGTAACACTACCGACTAAATGAATGAGTGTGTGATTCCAGTTTCAATGCATCGATCAGTATTCGCAGAGTGGTTTGATTTTAATATTTGTATCTGTGTGCCCAGAGAACAACATTAACTCTCTGCAGTCAGACAAAACCACTGACTCCGCAGTATTGCAGGCCGTGTCGTGACTGAATTCATCTCTGTTTCATTAAGACGTTGAAGAGGTAGAATCTGCCTCCTTCATGAGCTAGTTTTTCATTTTTGTCTTTTCATTTCACTTTTCTTTTGTGTGCTTCTTGTTTAGTCAAGAAACTAAATCCCTTTCTCCTCAGCAATACGGTTGATTTTGTGTTGTGCTGTGAGATCATTTGGAGAATTCTGCAACGTACGTTTGATGGGTTTCGGGTGCAGTTCCACATATGTTTGAGTCCCTTTATCTTTTATCATGATAAATGAATAAAGATGTTTTTTACTGACGTTTCATAGTGGTACTCCTACTTCCCCCTTTTGAGGTCATACAGTACTGTATGTTATTGAAATAATTCATACAGAAGGATTTATTATTAGTGCATATTATTCATGAAATAAACTTGGAGCTGCTGTTTTTCTTAGCTCAGATGTCTGTACTCGTGTGGCCTTGTGCTGCCTGCAGATTTCCCCAGAGAGCTCCAGGCAGAGCAACGGTGAGAGGAAACGCATGCGGCGAGGGAAATGTATGCAAATCCTCGGGGCTCGGTGGATTTCTGCAGCCGCTGCGGTCTACCAAGGACAAATGCTGCTTCCTGCCCTTTGAGCTCTGACTTTCATAACCCGTGATGTAATAAAACAGGAAAGATTTAGCTAGGATTATCGTCAAAGTCCGATTATTGAAAAATAACTTCTGGTTTTATTACATTTTGCATCTTTTTAAAGCCTGGTGTTTGAGATTTACATTTTCAGAGGTGGTTTTCCCACCTTCAAAGGAGTCTTTGTTCCTCTTTTGTTTCACTTCTGTGTGAAATGCAGATTGAAACCTGACATCAGTTGGCCTTTATACTGTCAAACTTATGATGGTGTTTGGTAACTCACTGCAGACTTTTAAAGTTTTTCTTTTCAGACGTACAAAGGGCCAATGAGCTCCCAGGATGCCATGATGGTGGGACTTAACTCCTTTTGGCTAGTCGAGTCTGATTTAGATTTATAATAAACAAGTTTCAAGTCAAAATACAAGTTCATAAGCAAGTCTTTTAATGTCTCTAATCGCTGACGACTTAAAAAAATTGCGACATCCTTCAAGTCCTTTCCATGGAGAGGTATAATAATCAAAATACAAACGGCTTGCCACTCATGAGTTTACATTTTTTGCAAAGTATTTAAAGCAGTCAAATCCATGCAAGTTACGTCTTGACTCAAGGTTTTTAATTATCTTCTCATGTGTAGGCTGCAAGTTGTCACATCCTCTACAGCTCTGGACCAACAGCCAAGCCTTAGATCACGACCCTTATGATGTGACAGAGCTGCCATGGTATCTAAACTTTAGATTCAAAGACAACATATTTACCCACAAGTGCATGTTACCAACTGAAGAGTGGAAAGACAAATATTTTGCATTTACCAGGCAATTAGCATCTAACCAAGATACCCTCTCAAGTTGCATCAGAGGAAAGCATCCAGGGTGTGTGGGCGAATGAATACTCGGTGCTGAAGTCAGGATATTTTGGCTTCTGGCTGCATCAGTTATGTTTTTTTTATCTCTGCAGTTCTAAGTCACTGGATTCCTCTTTTAAGTATGACCCAAATTCAAGAACTGAGCTAAATGAAATAAGTTATTTAAGAATGCGGAATAATAATAATGCATCTTTTGGTGGACATATTACTTGAATTCTTATGTTTAAATATCTTATTTGATCTTTTATTGCACATTCTTAGTTCTTATATTATATACTATGTTATATTTTATTTTAATATATTTTATTTTATTCATTATATGATGGAACAACTGTCACTAAAAACTATTACTTCTGATTCTGATGTTAATGAATCTGGTGAGGTAGCCGATTCTGACACTTCCTGTACAGTAGGTTGTTTCTGGTTCATTACAATTGGGTCTATTGTGTCCATCTCATTGGTTGCTCAATATAACACTGTACTCACAATAATGCTAAGATCTGGGAGCATGGTAACATTGCAACAAGAAATATTCAGATCAGATCAGGTTTTAAACCAACTCGCGTTCTTTTTGTTAGTTACAAACTCTCTTCCTTCTTTACATCTTCTCACTATTACCTGTCTCCCAATGGTTTCCAGATGTCAACAACTAAAGACTGCAAGATGTTATCATTACTGCTATAACAAAGGAACAAAACGACAAACATAAGAACCAATTTGTTATAGACCAGAATTATTCATTTTTACTGGAAACAGTCCATTCTGATTGGAAACAGCTGAGGGTGCATGAACCCGCCCAGGTGGACATCCATCACACTGACAGGGACCTCACTACTGTTAATGAAGTCTGTCGTGTGTTTGTGAGCTGATGTCACTGTTTGTGTTTGTGAACCTGTCGGCTGGAGAACATTTGCATCAGGTCTAGTTATGATGGATTTTACGACTGAGGGTAAACGCAATTCTGTGTATGTGTGGGGGGGGGGGGTGTGTGTGTTGCACTAACTGACAGTTCCATAGTGTCATGTAGCACTTCCCACCCCCCCCCCACACATAAAGCTTTTGTTTCTTTCTTACACACATACCAATGGCTGTCATCACCAGCTCCAAACCCAGCCATTTGTGCCTGTCAGTCAGAAGTCGCTAGTTCGTATCGGTGTGTGTGGGTGTGTGTGTGTATTCGCCGCCTTTTAAATGTCATTTTTGACCTATTGAGCATTCTGATGAGCCGAGCTCAGAGGCTGATGGCTGAGATGTAGATGGAATATTGATTTTGTTGGTGTTTGAGGGATAGGAGTGCCGGGGGTTATTGTTAAACATGGAGCTCAGAAGCACTGAGATGATGACAGATTTAACTCTAAATACGTTGCAGGTGTATAATTGGATGGAAAACGGAACGTATTTTGTCTTCTCGCGGTTTGTCTTCATTTCTACATGCCTTGTTTTTGCCATGGTGCACATCAGTGTGTGGCCAAGCAGAATTTATATTACAACAAAGGTTATTTTAAATTGCTTAATCAAACACACATTAAAAGATCAAATTCGATAAAACGGAGGTAAGAGAGCAAAGTCACCTTGCCTTTATCTTCTATTAATATATGCTATAATTATCCCTATTTAATCTCTTGAAACACATTTTATTGACTTCAACCTTATCTTAAAATGATGTATCTTCATATATATACACAGAGCCTTTGTTTGCCTTTCTATGCCTATAAATATAAGCCATATTGTGTCAGTAGCATCAACAGTTTTGCGTACATTGTTTTGAATAACTTAATGTTTTTGCATCATATTGTATGTCTTAGTTTGCTGATAAAGGAAAAAAAAAACTTGAAATGTTGAGGAAGAATCGAGTTGTGTACATTATCTCCAAAGTCTAATGAAGAAAGCAAATCATTTAAATTGCTAAATGATGTAGAATTTTGAGGCAGTGGAACGTGCAATATTGACATTTGTTAGCAAACGGTTGACAGCAGACACAAAGCAACATTACCACCCATTTGCACCGTTTGTTTCCACTGCTAAACGTCCTTTAGCCTCTGTTTGGTTAGCAATATCACACTCAGTGGACTTTACAGAAACAAACCACAACATTGTAAACAATAAAATTACTGGAAAAGACAAGATAGTGTAAAATATAAATAAAATGAATTAAGACACAACAAAAGACAATTAAAAACCAACCAAACGATACAATAAAATGAAGGAACCAGGAGGACGAACATAGGGAATACTCTGAAACCAGCTCTCACTAAAGGCTTGGTCTTGAGCGCACTCTTAAAAGTATGGACACTGTCTGCCGTTCTGATAAAAAAAGGAAGTTAGTTCCACAGAAAGGGAGTCCTATGGAGTCCTATGGAGTCCTATGGAGTCCTTTGGAGTATGGTCCTTTTTCCTTGTTTTTGTTAACCTGTTCCACTCTGAGCCTGTTTTTCAGGTCTCAGGCTCGAAAATGACATTCCCAGAACAAATGACCATATCTTCCCTTCTAAAAGGGTTAAATTAATAATCTTTTTTCTCAAAGTAATGATAAACCTGTGAGTTGGATGTAGAAGTGTCAGAATCAATATAAATGTTTTTTATTTTAAAGAAAATTCAGATTTTACATAGTAAAAAAACTGTAAATTATAGTGTCCGTCCAAAAATTATTTTTTACAGATAGTGAAAACTACCCTTGGATGATGGGTTAGTAGACTAAAAGCTTTAGGAATCCAAAGTACAACATATAATAAGTACCCTGTATCAAGATTGATGCAAAACAAGTGAAATTTGACCTTTTTAGAGAGATTTAGCCAAAAACTGGGCCATCTGGGGTCATTTGGGTGGATTTGACCTATCTCTGGCCCCCCTTGCTCGATTTGGTTGGTTGACATACCCTTGTGACCGTTAGAGCCAATAGAATCGAAGGGGGAGGACAACACCCACACAAGCTGTAAAGAAAAAATGTGGGCGCTTCGCGTGTGGAAAACGAAACCAAACTGGAGGAATGTCTCCTTCTGGAGTTTGGAAACTAAAACGCAGTTGTATTGCTTATGGATTATCAGAAATAATTTCAAAGAAGGCACAGACACATAGGATGAACCTATGGATTAACTGCAGCATCGTTTTTTTATCGTTTTAATGCCATTGAAGACCACTTTTGACCAAGGTAAGCCATATTTACGTGTTTAGCTTCTTAGCTCCACATGTGATGATGTACGCTTTCGTTGATAGCGTCGCGAATGTTTATCACTGAGTGTTGAGGTGGGCACCGGTAGATTCAGTGTCTCCAGGACACCAAAAACGAGTGGTTGGCTGTGCATCTAGGATAAGTAATAAGGGAGTTATGAGTGAGTTTAAGTGCCTTTGTAGGTCCCGTTTTTTCGATCGAGGCTAATTCAGAGGCTGAGTGCTAGCATTGTGGGGTTTTTTTGAAAAAAAAAATTAAAAAGATCAGTTAGCTGAGTTTCTTCCCGTTACATGGATATAACACATTCATAGTTTTATTCAATGTTAAGATTCCTTAGACGTTGTTTCCTGCAAATGACGCGTTTATCCGCCCGGTACCGGGGGGAAGGTGTGAAACAGGTTAATAGACGGGCTGCAGCATTTTTAACCCGTTTTTTATGGATGTGTAAGGGCAGCCTGATAAAAGGAAGTTGCAGTAATTCTGCAACGTTTTGATCTAGCTGTATCAGTGAAAACAAGATGTGTTTCTTGGTTTGGTTCTGGGTTCATCGCAAGTCAGGGTTTAACAGCGTTTCAAAACAGAAACGGTACCAATGAGAGCAATGGGACCATAACCAAAAAATAAAATGTGTGCCATAAAACCAAAACAACGAGCTCAAAGACACCAAAAGCTTGTAGAACCGCAGAGTTGCATTATAATTCTCTGCAGGTTTGTCACCTTTTATATTATACGTTGACATTTGATCCATTGTTGATAGAAATATTGATCAATGCACTTTCAATATTAGCATTTACTGAAAGTTTGAAGAGTCTCCTTTCTGAAATCTATAACTAAAATATGTCTACGGAAATCATACCTTTGCACAAAAGACTGAAAAGCAATGGGGGAAATTCAAAACATCTCCGCTAAGTGTCTTATGCTTTCTGTAGCCCCCTTTGTGTTTTTCTTTCTTTTCATGTTGATTGCTCTCTCTTCCTATCATAGTCATTCTGTTTCTCTCTTTCATATTTAAAGTATATTATTATATAGACTCTCTTGTTGCTGTTTTCTCTTTGTAAAAGCCTGAGCATTTGAGATTAAAGCAGAATTCAGCAGCGATAGATAACCTGCTGCATGGCTGAACAATGCTCCGCCTCCTGTCTATTGTCAGACCTTTTATTAGTCAATATTTACTCAGCCTTGTGTCACAATGCATGTAATCTTCACCGGCAGGAGCTGGAGCACTGATAAATAGTATGCGGGACAAAAGAAGTATTAAGGTCTGCTGCTTCCATTCACATACATCGCCAGAGCAAATAAGCTTTGAAAACATGTTAAACAAAACACTTGTTTTTGAGAAAAGCTCAGTGGTACTGCCATGTTAGTATAGAAAAACAAGGATAAATTGTGGTCTTGGACATCTCAATCATGAAAGCATTTTGAAACAATGAGCCCTGGGGCATAGATATAACATTAGAGCACTCTTTTGTATTATAAACTCTACTCATTGTACGCTATACTTGCAGAAAACTGTGCAAATGTGTGTTCATTACGCGTCACTTTGGTGTTTTGCATTTCTTTAGTTTTTTCTTTGTCTCCTTGTGGTCGTTATGCATCCCTTTGCTGTAGTTTGGCATCCCTTTGTGGTCGTTTTTGTCTCTGTGGCTGTTTACATCTCTTTAAAGGTCCCATGTCATGGCCATTTCTACTGATCATAATTCCATTGTTGAGGTATACTAGAATAGATTTATATTGTGCAATTTTCCAAACTCACATTGGTTTCTCATACAGCATCTCTGTATAGTATGTGTATTCACTCTCTGTCCTAAACGGCTTGTTGGAGCTCCTGCCCACCCCTCCCAGTGAGCCAAGTGTGCTCTGATTGGTCAGCTCGCCCACTCTGTTCTGATGAGTCCACCACCGTTACAGCGGAACATCAGTGATTATGTGTTACAATGGTGTTGTGTTAGCAACCAGAAAATGACACCAGTAATGACAAACAGATGAAAATGCTGCGTGCCGTGTTGGCGGGACGTTGAGAGGCTCGCTGCTGCGAGGAGCGGACAGTGTGAGCTGGCTTACTGGTGTGGTTTCCTGGTTGCTGCGTGGGGTCGGCGAGACAGCGAGACACACCGAAACCCAGCCCGAAACCAGCCCGCGCGCGCGCACACACACACACACACACACACACCCGTAGCCTGGCTGTGAGTCTGTGTGTGTGCTCACACAGCCTCGCCGCGTCCCGCCGTCCAGGCTGATAAATCCGCGCAGAGCTGCAGCTGAGAAAAATAAGACTGAGTGTGTGTGTGTGAGGAGCTCCGCGGATTGGTCCATTTGGTCACTTGGTTCCCGGAAGAAAATTAATGGAAAAAGAAAATCTCCAACGAGGCGTTCTGGGCCAGCATACACACGTCTTTTCTGTGTTAGAGTTTTACTTGCAGACCGTTTACATGCATAAAAAGCTACATAACACACAAGGGGACGGGTAATAACCGGAAAAGCATGACATGGGACTTTTTAAAGGCCACTACACACCAATCTGACGCCAAAGAACACGTCCCGACGGACCCGATTGTTGTGTCGCCTCACGTCTCCTGCGTCTTGGCCAAAAAGTCGCACTGGAACACACCGCAAAGACTTCAGCCGACGGCCAAGTAGCACGTACGCACTGCGCATGCGTGAGTGGCAATAACTCTCCTTACCAGCAAGCGGCGGTAGTGTGTATTCTTAATTCAAGAGAGGCAACCGGAAGACAGACTGCGTGATATATACAAACAACAAATAGCGTGCGTTTCATTTTCACTCTCGTCCATCACAGACTGTTTCACCGACTGTTTCACATAACGACTTATCGAAAACATGTTTAGTGCGGTACTGGAAAATGAAAAATAATAGCCGTCTGTGTGTGCCTTCTTCACTTCCGTTTCGCTTCTCATGCACTGATTCGCTAAGCTGAACAGCCAATCAGAGTGATTTCTTTGGCTGACAGCCTCCCGATTCAACATGTTGGAAGCGGAAGGTGTCGGCACGGCCGAAAAGACACGACGGTGCTGGACACTCCAATCTGAGTAGGGCGACAGGACGCTCATCGACGGCCAGACATCTATCGACGGCCGAAATCGGCGCGGTGTGTCCGGGCCTTAAGGTTTATGGCATTGCTATGAATTTATTTTGCGTTATGGCATTGTTGTAATTTTTTCTCTCTTGTTTGTGCATTGGCATTGCTTTGTGGTTGTTTAATGTATCTTTGTTTTCATTCTGCATATCTTTGTGTTCTTTTTTGGTATTTTTGTCTCTTTGTGGTGGTAGTAGCTTAGTCCAAGGGAATTTGGATTTGGAACTGGAGGAATGACGTGGCTTGGACCTGGTGCCCTTGAGCAAGGCACTGAACCCTTAACTGCTTGACCAGCCTCATCACGCATCAACGTTGCTCTTAGTAATACTTCTTTCTTCTTCCTTTTCAGAGGGTTGTGACCCTTCAAGTATGTTTTGGTCTTGTTGGATGCATGTAGAGTGCAGTGGGTTTATCACATATGCATGATGTTTCTAGAAAACACGAGAACCAAGCCAAGAACCAGGACCAAAACTAACATCTAAAAAAGGCAAAAAAGCTCCATAGAGCTGCAGACTTAAAAACTACAAACACATTCTTTTACAATACACATAGTTATTTCAACAATTGTTTATAAAGCACATGACGCTCAAATAATTTTGGGCCCATTAACCATTTCTTTAAAAGGTTAAATAGGCCCAAAACCAATAAAACAAATGTATCATGAACAACTGAGATCAACAACCATCAGTTAATGCTGTTTAAATATATATTTTATTTGCAAATATGAAATATTTACACTCTGTAGCAGCTAATATAATTCTTCTTTCTATATTAAATGCAGTTGCTGGATTTTTTACATCATAAATAACTTTTTGGGAAAAAAAGGACCACAAACAAAAGAGACTATCCTAATTGATTGTTAAATAATGCAGAAGAACTACGTGTGATCATCTGATCCCACATGTGTTGCTCCTGTTGAAAAGAGTCTCAGCTGATCCTGTTGTCGAGGTGGCAGTACAGGTACATGGACACTATCATGGCAGCAATCTGAGGAACAAAAGCACTAACCTTTAGCCGAACGGAGCACATTTTCAATAAATTCAATCATGCCTTTCCCTTTCACATTTTACCTCCAATACTCCTATTCCTGCTGCGATGCCTCCCACAATGTTGGCATGCTCTTTGAGGATCTTCAAGATGTGTTTGAAACAGCCCTGAGGGGAAGAGTGTATGTCAATATAATAATCAATTATTCACAAATCGACATGATACACACAATAGTCAACAAATGGAAGGCACAAAAAAAGGACATTTACTATATTGCTATGTTGTTCTATTAAATCAGGGCTACTTGCAACTAATTAGCAACAGCAAATATGACTTTTAATGAACTTATTGAATACGTTGTTGGCCAATTTAATGTGATGAAAAAAGTCCAGTCTTCAGTCATACTTCAGGCTCAAAATCAAATGTCATTGAATTTTTTTATTGAATTGACAAACAGTACAAAAACAAACTGGTAGTATTAGCTTTGCTAGCTAGGGCTTTTTGGGAAGTTGGTTGTTCTGTCCACCTATTTTAGTAGAGATTGAAACACCTTAACAACAATCGTATGAATTGCCCTGAAAACACACAATCACAACCACCTGAAGTTTTGGTTTGATTGACTAGCTGTGTCAAAGTGGCATCAGGATGTGACCTCCCTCTAGCTTTCCTTTCCGTTCTTTACACAACATTTCTGTAACTCTTTGTGTAAAGAAAAGTGTGAATATGTCTTCCGGTAGCATGTGCTATTATCCTAGTTTTAAAACATGACTGGGTCTCCAGTACGGCTGTACTAAAAAGGTGTAAAACTACATGTTAGCATTGTCATTCTGAGCAAGTTAGCATGTTGACATTAGCATTAGCCTCAAGTCGCTGCTATGCCAGTACAGTCCCCCAGAGCCTCTTGAATGGCTGTCAATTCATTGTCTTGTTACTGTCTAAATTACTTAAAACAAGAGTGACACACTTGACAGTTGACAGTTTATTACGTACACGTAAATAAAAGTGATGCAGTCTCATACAACCGCAAGGCTGTAACCCTAATCCATTCACGAAGGTCACAATGTTCTGTTAAATCTATGAGAGATATTTAAATGGGAATCTAAGGCCTTTAATTTGAGCTGCTTTTGGATTGTCAACAGTGCTCAACTTTCCTTTCTGCGTATACTTTTTATATTCTTCTTATATTAAAGGTAGGGTAGGTAAGTTTGAGAAACCGGCTCGAGATCGCTAGAATTTGAAAATACACAGCCGGAGAAAATCTGCCACTTCCTTACAGAGCCCCTCCTCCAACACACACGAACGCGCACATGACCAATGAGGGCACGAGAAATGTTTGTGCACAGATGGAAGGCTGACAGGCAGGTAGGCCATCCAGTTATTTTAGCCGGGCCGGCTCAAATGATTGGTCGTGCTTTTTACAGTATTACGGCTTCCACAGATGACATTTTTTTATGGATTTTTTGTCAAAGCACTTAAGATATTCATTGCTATCGGGATGTTAAGAGCATTCCATGGAATATAACAAAAAGTGTATCTCGAGCCGGTTTCTCAAACGTACCTACCCTACCTTTAACTGTAGTGTTGTTTCCACCTCACCTGCACATCGCTACGCTCTGCCTCGATGCTGCTGCAGGGGGCGCTGTAAGTCCAACAGCAGGTGGGGGGTAGACTACCTCCGTTCCCCTCTTCAAACTTAGAGCCCACAAAGTCTGTGTAGTTGTTGAAACCGCAGCACTTCAGCTGAGAGGAAAAGCAAGAAAACACTTTTGTTTATATCCAATGAGCAATTTTGTACGAAAACTTTTAGTTTAGTAAAGTTTAGTACAGTAAAAGCCTTGCTGCTGTGTGAGTTGAGGTTGTCAGTTCAGTTTGTTGTCTGAGTATTTCTATTCAGATGCCATATCATTTCCAGCCTTGGAATTTTTGTTGCATGTCATACCTCTCCGCCCCCACTTTTCTACAGTGTCAACAAATAAGGAAAGGATTTGCACAAAAAAGTCGAAAATTGATCAGTACTATTCACTGTGTTGCACTTACAGGTTCTGTGTGTTATAGAAAGTAACCATGACACTGTTGGCACCACACAGTAGCTTTGAGTTTTACAAATGTCTCTTTTTAAACTCTTTGAGTGTGAACATGTGAATTCCATTCAAACATTCAATTAAACCAAAACTTCTGCTTCTCTTGATAGAAGTAAGAACATGTGTTTCCAGTCAAGGTTGGAACATGCTTTCAACACTTTTCTTTGCATTGTCAAACCAGTAGCATTGCAAGTTTGTTTTTCATTAAGTGACTTAAGGAGGGGATAAAAGCTGAGTTACCTTGACTGAGGCATGAGTGCAGGTGAGCTGAGGTAAAACTGATGGACAAACCCAGAGAGATGGCATGCACGCTCTACAGTTCTGTTATGGCTTTTGTCTGATTTCCATTGAAAGATTAGAAGCATAGCACTTTAGCCACAGGAAGTCTGTTTATTATTATTCAGCTAAGTGAAGGACAGTGTGAGAGGGAGAAACCATTGAATAGTTGTTTACTCTCAAAAGCCAGCATGACCCATTATCTACTATCCATGGGTTTGACTGTGATGCCTCAGAAGGTTTATTTTAATTGGAAGGAAGAAACTTAAAAAAATGTGACAAACTGACACCGCCTTGAGTTATGCACATCATTAAGCCTTAATACAATTTGGACAAATTACAAAAAATGTAAACAGTGGTCATGAATGGGAAAATGTGCTACAGTACATAGACCAAAACAATTTGTTGCACCAGGCTGTAAATCTGTTTATGTATTATGCTAAATTGGGAATGTTAACAAGGGCTCTGGGATTGACTTGCTTGACTGTTTTTGGCATATATGTATAAAGAGAACTGGATACAGAGTACACCATTTGCTTAATAGCGCATGAAGCCAAAATGGTCTGACTCTCGAGAGCAAAAGTAACCCATCCACTCTCAAGATCACTCTCGGCACAGTCAAATCAATGGAGAAGGAAAATAACTCTGGGTTCGGCTTTTAGCGTATTTGACAACTTTTGAAACCTAATGATTTAAAAGAGGGCTATACAAGTGTTTGTACTGGGTAGGTCATTTACCGAAAAATTAAATATTGCGCTGAGTTACAGACAAAATAGTACTTTAGCGCCTTATGATGTTACAGAGAAACTGTAGTTGTAGTACCACCGTTTGGCCACTAGATGATTGTGTTTGTTTTGGCACTTGGCTTCTTCAATCGGTTTCATTTTCTAGCACAAGCAGTTGGGTTTTCCTTTACATACATTTGCAGTTGTTGTGACTTAATGCAGAAACAGCACTTTGCTTTAATTTCTGAACATGCACTTGGTGAAAATGAGATACTGTACCTCTGTCATGGTGGTGTTCCAGATCTTTGTGACCACAGGATCGCTGCCGTAGTCTTTCTGTAAAGCAGGGGTCACCCACGCTCTGATGATCCCCTCAGCCTGAGGGAAACATACTCAGGTTTAGAAGTTTGTTGGCAGAACGTTTTCCTGAGTTTCATACCTTATCCTGAATCTGATTTTAGCTTTATCAAAAACAAGTATTCCTGGTTTTAAAGAAATGTCCTCCAAAGATTTATTTTTATTTTTGGGGAGTCTATTTTTATATAACATTAGAAAGACTGATTCTTATTATTACATTATAAGCTTATTGTGCTCATTTTATGTGGCTGTGACTTTGGAATAAATAGACGTCTTTAGCCTGTAATACAGAGTAGCAAGGTCAGGTGCAGACACTGGAAGAATACAAAGAGTTATTCATAAACAGGACATCACTCCGGCCTTGAACTTTGGGTGAGCTCCGCTCCCACACATAGCTAGGAAGCAGCCTTATGAAGATTTCACTTTTTCTGTAGAAACGTTAGCGAAAACAAATTACGTATGATGGTGCCAGAGTAGGGAGGGACTTCCACAGGCCGGCCGAATGCTGATTGGGAGGATTGTGTTGCCAAGAGACTCTGTCTGAGTCTGCGCACCTACCAAAGAGAACCAAGTCTAAACCACGGTCTCTCTTCATCTAGTCCAGGCAACGCCCTGTGTAATAAAAATGTATTGTCGCTCGAGGTTCGAGGCTCTTTCCGGAAATAGTGGTTGCAGATTACAGCTTTGCTGCCTATAATTTCTATGACGTGACGGAGTCCTTGGTCAAGTGAATATATATCTTTTGCTCTCTTATAATAAATAGTTAAACTTAGAAGTTGTCTGTCTTTCCTGGAATTTTGAACACAACATTTTCAAAAAACTATCCTTTTCTCACATTTCAGAAAAAATGTAAACCAAAATGTCCTAACTGTCCATAGTTGACAACATTATCTGTAACGTTCCTAACCTTTGAAGTCCGACAAAAGATTCCCATTTTTTAACAATTTCCCAACTTCGACTTAAACGTCCTGAATTTCCAGAACCGTTTCAAATGTAATCTGTTTTATCGGTATAGTGTCCGGTCTGTAGATGAGAGGCCTTTAAATGCAAATAAGCCCCTGTGGGCGGATATAAAGCACCTCACTGCACTCCAGTTGAGTCCAACAGTGTCACACAAACGCACACTTAAGAATACACACCACACTACGGAGGCCCCTGAAAATAATATACTGCTGATGATTTCACGGGGAGGAAAGGTAATTCTCTGGGAGTCAACTATTCATCAGAAATTAAATAAATCTTCTCTCACACAAAGCACTTGGGAAATAAACAGCCTCGGCATGGCACCTGGAAAAAAATGAAAATAAATCAAAAAATGGCCGAGCCATTATTCTCAATTCTTCGTCTGCTTTTTATGGTCGTAAACTGGGGAGCATTTACATATATATAGATGCTCCTGATGGCTTCGGTCAGGACACATTTTGTCCGCTTTTCCTGTTTATCCAAAGTGCAAAAAAGGGCAGATTATGTTTGAGGCAGGAGGGGAGTCTTTGTTGTGGAACAATTCCTTCACAAACGCACAGGTTAGCTCTCTTTCCCGCCTTCCCCCCATCCTCTGTCTGTTTTTTCCTTTTTGATTAATAATCCCGTCGCGTACAGTCACACAAAGGCCCATTTGATGAGGAGGGAGAGTGTGTGCTTTACTGTACGCACATGTGGCCACGTGCACCCGTGTGTCTATCAGGTTAGTTTTGTCTGAAAGTGCCTCTTCTGTGTGTGTGTGAGCCTGTGTACAGTGAAGGGGGCAGGCGTACGAGATGCCCGAGGGGATGCTGGGATACATGCCACAATTAAAAGTGCCCCCCAAGAAGCAGTGAGAGCGGCTGAGATCAGAGAGGGTTATTACCAGCCGGCTAATTCATCACTGTCACTCTGCCCCGTGCCTCGCCACATCCCGTTAAACACACACACTCGCATGCTTACACACTGATATGGGCCCCTGCAAACACACACACACACACACACACACACACACACACACACACACACACACACACACACACACACACACACACACACACACACACACGGTGGACAGGCAGGACAAAGACTATAGCAACACACAGCCCAGTGAGGCAAAAGCGATAACACATCTATCAATACGGTACAGTACACCACCTACACACGCATGATAAAAGTCTTCAGCTCCATGTGGTATTGATCTTTTGTTTACAGAGTGTTGCTTATTCTGAAATAATTATCGATATCTTTTACTGCAGTAACTGGTTGGCTGCTAATTGGTTATTGTTCTTAAGTGGAAAAGCAATAAATGAGAACCATATAACATTCAGTTGAGCAAGGCTTTGTTATGAGACATTGGTTACATTTCCCTCCATATGTATGTATGCTTAAATGCAGTAGAACATTTGAAAAAAGATGCAAAAGGGGGCAAAAATAAATATTTTGAACACATTGTAAAACCTGTATTTGTAACATCTACTGTCAACAAAGCCCCAGTTTGATCCCTTCATTTATTGTCTTTGAATTCTAGTCACAGAGCTAAGCATCACTACAAAGATCTGTGATGAAGTGGCAGTTTTTGCTTGAATTTATCATTATGAAGTAAATGTTGATTGCACAATGTAATGGCTTTACAATAATGATGCCTTTTAGAATGGTTCCCTATAAGCCTCGCTTTCACTTTGCAAATCCATCTGCCTCTGGGTACAATTTCCCAGGATAATTACGGCTCGATTTACCATTGCGTAACCAAAAGAGTATGAATTCTAATGGAAGTCAATAATTATTTAGTTTTTTTCTCTGTCGAAATCAGTAGCTAACAATAAGAATCAATGTAAGTTTTATTGCAGTTACTATTTTAATAGTAAAAATGGCGGAATAAAGTTGTAGGCCGACCCTAAAGTTAGCATAGCAAGGGCTCCCTCAACAGAAAATATATTTTTTGTTATACTTAACACGTTTCGTTCAGCAGGATAATCTCCACGTAACATTTTTAAAGCGTAAATGCAATCGGTAGATGTAAAAAGGTAACATTATGCTATAAACCAACTACATCACTATCGCGTCATCACGGCTAAGCTAACGTTGGACTTCGGTGTGATGACGTTTAGTCTCATTCAGTCACTTGTTAGCAACTGCTATTTTTATGACACATAGAAGCTTCAGACATTTACCAGTTGGTACTTACTGACGTAATTGATGTCATAACAAAATGTGAAAATCATTTAAGCTTGCGTTAACAACAGACCATAAAGGTGGGGTAGGTAATTTTGGAGAAACCAGCTCGAGTGCGCTAGAATTTGAAAATACACAGCCGGAACAAATCTACCACTTCCTTACAGAGCCCCTTCTCCAACACACACGAACGCGCACATGACCAATGAGGGCACGAGATAAGTTTGTGCACAGATGGAAGGCTGACAGGCAGGTAGGCCATCCAGTTACTTTAGCCGGGCCGTCTAAAATGATTGGTCGTGCTTTTTATAGTACTACGGCTTCCACAGATGAAATTTTTTTATGGATTTTTTGTCAAAGCACTTAAAATATTCATTGCTATCGGGATGTTAAGAGCATTCCATGGAATATAACAAAAAGTGTATCTCGAGCCGGTTTCTCAAACTTACCTACCCCACCTTTAATTTAAAAAAATTGAAATTAGAGATGTGGGATCTGGAAGTGCTAAAATTCTAACTAATTTCTGTGTTTTAGGACCCATTCCTGCACCAGTCTATAGACCCGTACAAAATGACATAAGGTTATTTGAATACATGTGAAGTTTAAAGGCAGACAGTTTATGTTTTTAATGTTTTCGTATAATTTGTATATTTGTTTAAAACCTTTGAAATTAATGTTCTGCCTATATATATCTATACTCGGGATACTCGCAAAAGCTCGCAAAAGCTATCTTTTAGAATCTTCTGCTAAAACATTTATAACAAAATTGCTAGCTGGAACAACACAAGATAAATGCCTTGTGTTTTTGTAAAGAAATAGAAAATAATCACTATGCTGACAGATGCTAAAAGGCGCAGTTCGAGCTGGTGATGATTCTCCTTGGGTTCGTCATGATGAGTGACCACTCTCACATACACAAAGTCATTTCCTCCTTTGTTAATGTAGTATTGGATTACGTTTTGAGGGGACATTCCTTTACTGTACACGGACGTCCGTGTGATTCATTAAACGCCACATCACATCTATTCCATTCATCCAGTGTGAAGTCCATATCAGCCCCACTAATAAATCTCACCCTGGTCACTTCCCAATCACTTGGCGGAGAAAGAACAACCATGACCACTGACGGCCTCTCATAATGCCTGCTGAAATGGCTTATTAAATCTCAGTTATTAGGACCACCTGAAGGTTATTGGCTCTTTGTTTAGATGAGCTGCAGGGCATGGTGGCCAAAAGGCAGATTTATACTTCAGATAAGGACAGAATAGATCAACGCTTTATTTACAGCCTCCTTTCATTGTATACGCCTCTGTCTCTTACTTATTGACACAGGGTGCTATATATATGCATATTAGTACATTGGCCATATTCATTATTCAGATGCTATTGTGTTTACTGTGTCTTATCAAAAGCACAAGATGGACAGCTGCTCTCGTAGACTCATATCCGTGATGGAAGTTATGATGTCCTTTGTGTTTGTAATGAACAGATGATGCTAAAGCAAAGACACAGCACGTTAAATAGACTCTAAACCTTATCTGTGATCTGTTTAAGGAAGACGCATCTGAGTTATGTCTTGCATTTCACTGAGCTTTAGACAATAGCTCACACCTCCCTCTCTCTCTCTTGCTGCTCTGGCCTGCTGGCTGTTGTGGATTCACTTCCTCGCCAGATGCCGTTTACATAGCTTGTCTGGCATTTGCAAATGCTGAGCTAACCGAGGCGAGCGAGATGGAGCAAATGTATTTCAGCAAAACTGCCTCAGCAGCAGCGGCGCTCCCAACTCAGCCTCCAAGGACACACTCAGAAAATCACACACACTCTTTGAGCTTCTTTGTGTGAGAGCAGGCACACTCAGGGTTGGACAGGACCAGAATGCATTAGATGGAGCGAGAATTAACATGAAATAAAGGGAGGGAGTGGGGTAAGTAAATGGCTTCACTGCAAAACAAAAAAAAAACACTTATTATTTCTATCTAGAAGCGAGTCCTAAACATTTTTGATTAACCTGTCAAGCAGTAGAAATGAAAATGTAAAAGTATTTCATAGAAAGGAGTGTTTGTATCCTGGTACAATGTAAAGTCCAGCTGGAGAGTTACTTGTCATAAGGTCGTAGTATAGTATTTCATATAAATGTCATATTAAAGTATTTTATAAAAAAGCCATTGTATGGTATGCTATAAAAAAGCAATAACAAGGCATACTACAGTATGCCATTAAAACATCATACATAAATGAATGGTATCGTACAGAGGTGGGGACTCGAGTCACATGACTTGACTCGAGTCAGACTCAAGTTGCATATTTTTTTACTTGAGACTTGCTTGACTAACATTGATAAAAGACTTGACTTGACTTTGACTTGGTATTCATGACTTGAGACTTGACTTAAGCTTGAGACAGATGACTTGAAAGGACTTGACTGTTTACAATTAAATATTTGCGTTTGTTTTTGTAGTGAGATATTACGTTTAGTTTTTTCGAAAAACGTGATTGGGTGATTATAGCGCCATGCGCGCAAACCTGGCAACCCACTAGACGGCAGGAGAGTCAGTTAACATGGCAGCGGCTAGCGTTACTCCAAAAATAGTGAAATTTGGATTCAAGGATTATGTTGTCGATGACGCTAATAAGAAGAGAACAGCGGTATGCAGGGTCTGCAGCATAAAGATCAGTGACACGACCACCAAAACATCCAACTTCATTCGTCACTACAAAAAAACCCACAGAGAAAGGTGCGTGAATGTGTTGTGTTAGCTAGAAAGCTAACGTTAAGTTTAAGCTACGTTAGACTTGGTTTCAAATCGATTAAGCATTGCAAAGAGAAGACAAAACGGTAAATGAACACTAGAACCGCCAAGGGATTCATTTGTACTAACCCTGATACTGACGGGCTGTCAGGAGAGGGAGAGAGAGGGAGGGAAAGAGATGCCTCGTTTATTTCCCCTGTGTTATTATCAGAAGTTACTGTACACTTTTGAATAATGTAGTTCATCTACTTTTAGTAGTTTGTTTAAATGTTTTAATTATGTTGTTTTTGTTTGTAGAAGTGCATCATTCCTTGATTTATTGTAAAATGAATCTGAACTTTTTGATCTGTTATGATGATAAACTGAAGCCATTTCAAAATTAACCCAATTAACTGAGTTTTAAATCGTCCTACTTAGTTTATAAGGAAATTATGAAGAGGAACAAATTAAATGATTTGAAAATGATATCTATGTACAGTAGGTGCTGACGCTGTTGGCGGTTCTAGTGTTAACAGACATTTAAATTAAATATGTGTAATGGCAAATGCCATATATGATTTTCTTACCTGGAATTCTGCCTTTTTGAACAGACTTTTTGACTGAGTCCTAGCTATATTGTCTGCAGTTCTGGGGTTAATATGAATCTAATATGATTGTCATCGGTCTAAATTAGATTTCAAATGATTAACTGTGTATGTAATGAAGATCATAGTGTTGGTTAAATCCATTTTCATAACCACTGTCTTTTAACTGATTTAAATGCGGAAACTGGGCTTATTCATCAGAATTTCGTATGACTTGACTTGACTTGACTTGACCTGAGCAATGACTTGACTTGACTTGCTTGACTCTCACCACAGTGACTTGGGACTTGCTTGATACTTGTAGGTCAAGACTTGAGACTTGCTCATGACTTGCACATGTAGGACTTACTCCCACCTCGTATGCCATACATTTGTCAGAGAATGTAGTCACAGAATAGGATGTGTAAAAAGTTAATGTATATTATCTGATAAAAAAATAATCAGTCTTTTAAATGTAATATGATATAACTAAGATAACGTTATCTTATGTGACTATTTTGTTACTTTGTATGTGGTCTACTGAAACAAAAGTACATTTTTGTTTGACTTTGATCCAAGTTTTGTTGACTTTTTTCTACTTGTACTGCCATAAGTAATAGAGGACAATATATTATTTGTTTCTGAGTCTAAAATCAATATCATTATATTGAAACCAAATTAATAGGTTGCATGGTGAAATTCATATAAAGATAGTGATAAAAACAAGTATATAAGAAATGCACACATCCTGCATTGAAGAAATAACAGGCATAGAACCCACTCTTTCGAGAATAATACAGGAAGCAAGATCATATTAAATGGAAATAACCTTATCTTGTGTTAAGAAAAAAGTAATTCAATATCTACATATATGTTCTCCAAACTAAACGTCAAGATGTTTATTTGCTGTTGCCTTCCAAACCAACTCACATAAGCATTTACCCATTGAATGCCCCGGTCCATATCTTTTGTCAGTATCTTGCACCAATCCCAACAATACCAACATCTACAAGTGAGGTTCCCAGGAAGGCCCCTCTCCTCCCTATAGATGGATGTTTGTTAGATTACCTGTATTGCTTCTGGGGATTCAGAAACATCCCATGATTGGATAAAAAACTCCACTCTGTATTTTCTTTATTAAGGCCCCAATCTCCACTAACCTCCTTTTACATAGCTCATTTGAAATCCTTGTAATTATTATACGTGGCACTAAATGTAAATGGAGCATGTGTGTGTGTGTGAAAGAGAGTGCCACACATATGTAAATAGGCTATTTTGCATATATAATGCTTTAGCTTCAATATTCCAGAGTAATAAATTGCTCAAAGTTGGAGACGACGCACATGGCCCCCGGGCTATCCCGGAGTCATTAAGTAGCCGAATGTAGTCAGGCGGACATAAAGCCAGTAATTCAATGATGGCTACGGCTATGATGGAGAATTTACATGGAGATAAAATCCAGAGAGTGGGACGAGGAGGTGAGAGGGTGAAAGAGAAAGACGGAGAGGGACGAGACGAATTAAGAGACAAAGGAAGGGGAGGGAAGAGGAGGAGAATGAGGGGTGAGAGGAGGGAGGGGATATGTGATGAGGCAGTGAATGGGAAGAGGTGAAGAGGGGGAGACTTACAAATGAAGAGTAGGCCAACGCCACGACTCCAGCTGCCACTTCAGCGATGAATATGATGAGGATGATGGAGAAGAACTGCAGGATGGGACAAGGAGAACGTTTTAAATACTTAATTATATAAAAAATGGTCTTGGTCAGTTTTACAAATCCAAGTCTAGCAATTATCTGCATTAATATTTGCATTAAAAGGCAGAAGTGGATGCTTCTTAATGCCATAAGCTGAGGGATTTCCTATTGTCAACAATTGCTCCTTAAGTGATACAGCATTGGAGTACGGAGCCTTTAAAAACGAAATCTTGTACAAATAAATACATATATTTTAAACACCAGACTAAAAGAAATGATTCTGAGGTTTGTTGCCACCAACAAATTAGAATATCCTGAGTAGTTTTAAACAGCTATTGTTGTACGTAACAATCACAGACTGTCGATAAAGCTTTAATGATTACACAGGGGGACAATAAGCAGACACAGAACCCAAATGCTCCATTCTACCAGCTCATTTATTGTTTTTATGCAGTCCATTACAGCCGTTTGCCATGATGCTTTGGTTCCCGCTCGTCCCGTCAGTCGTGGGATCTGCTGCACAGTCATTATTCAACTCAATGGGAGATGTGGACATGATGGGAATCCACAGGGGGAAAAGGCTGCCTGTTCTCCTCATTAGACTCACTGCAGTGGACTAAGAGGTAGTTGGCTTGTCGATAATGAGCATAATAATGTACACTGTATTGTTCGGAGGTAGCAGGTATGAATGAGGATGTAGGGGCGGATGTGGACATTAGCTGAGCGCTTGATGAGCCGGGTGCAAATGGAAGGATGGGTGTAATTCTGAATGTGGAGCAACTGGATTTAAAAGCACCTCATGAACCCATACATGATCATTTAAGGTGTTTTACATCATAATTTAATTTGCTGAACTCTTCCTAAAGGCACTGGGAAGCAATCAAGCGGCAACACTGAGGTCTTAAAATAGAAGCCAATAATGTGCCTTGAACATGCATTGTCTTTTTAATGGCCTGCAGGAGGCAAGTCCACTGGTTGCAAAAATATCTGATTGACTAGAAGTCTATGACAAAAAAATGGTACTTCCCACATGATTCTTTACTACAGTAGAGCTTTTTTCTAACGGTTTTATTGTCTCAGTTGCTAGTTGAAGTATTTTTTTTAATACAGCATGACGCTAGTTTTAGTAAAATAAGGTACTATTTAGAGTAAAATGGTGTGCTTTAGGGTGTGGCTACCTTGACCAGGTGCTGGTTTGGATGTTGTTGGTATTTTCATTCCAACTTTAACCCTTCAGAGATTGTTTTGCGGTCAGGAAAGTTCATTATAACAGTTTGGTCACCTTTAAATTACTTGGTGACTGCGTTTAGTTTGACTATTTTGTGTCTAAATGGGTGGCACCTTAAGCAATCATCATTTATATTCTTTTTAATTATCAGCATTCCCCACACCTTTGGTGTTGCTGTTTATTTTAAGTCTGTTTCAACCCGCCTAGTATGGCTGCATGTTCATGACAAACACATTTTCTTGTTGAGTTTTGCCAAGTTCTTGCTCATTTTAAAATAATTTCAACAGACCTGGCATTTATTTAGTAAACAGCACTTTCCATTTCACATTGTAGTTAGTGGGAATACTATGGAATCAGGTTTGTGCCATTAAGATCAAGCAAAACGTCTTCTTATTGATTCCATAACCAATGAGCTGCTAGCATTGTGTATAGGCAAGAAATAAACCATTCATATCTTGTTACCATTGGCACGTTGGTGAAGTACACCTTCTTCATGCCTTGAACTCACAACTTTAAGGCCCCGGCTCCACGAGGACAAATACGGCAAAACGCATCGGAGTAACGCAAATGCAACCGCAAAAAACCTTCCGTCCCCACGCAATATACACCGGATTGTGTCAAGCTCCACGAGACGGCTCCGTTTACATCCAAACACTGGAAAAGCTGCAGTACATATGCCGAACCTGTACGTGGCGCTGTAACTTCCTCCACAAAAGCAGCAACTTCCTCCACAAAAGCAGCGAAGAAGAATGGTTGTCATGGCTGCACTTCTGTGTATTCTCCGCGGTGGGGGCCGACAGAACCGGGCAGAGTTTTTCGCCGGTCAGCGTGTGTTAAAGTTTAAATCTTCCGGACAAAATTATAAAAGTGCCGGTCAAAGGTCTTCATTGTTATTTATTGAGCTTTAAAACAAATGAATAACGACGATATAATGATATATAATCATCAAATACACGGAGCCTGTCTCTTTTTCCTCTCTTCTGACAGCGTCAGTGTCTGTCTCATGCAGCAGCTGTAATGAGTGACCCGACAGTAAAAATGAACATATTTATAACTAGTTTAGGTAGTTTGAGAGGTAATTAAAATAGCTAAGGGTGATGATCTGACTTGAAGTGTGTGTTTTGCTCCCGCTGCATCACAGCGGCAGGAGCTGCGTGTCTCCGTCCTGTCAGATTAGACTTCACTCGCGTTTATGTCCATATCGAGGTAAAGATAAATAATCTGAATTCAAGGAGGAGCTCCTGTAGATGTTGCACAAAGAACTGTAGCATGGTCAGTAGCGACTGGAGCACGATAGCAACCCTGCGGGGGAGAGGCGGGGCTATGAAAACGAATGACCGTATAGGCGACTCCACGGCCCCGTTGGACCCCCCAGAGCGCTCCGTTCCCAGATCTATCCACCTTTGGACCCGTTGTCGTTTGCGGGGTCTGTTTCTACGTTTCCCTTACGGCGTCGTCGAGCTTAGAGGGCTATACGCATGAGAAATATGCGGATTCAACCCGTTTTCGTCCTCGTGGAGCCGGGGCCTAATAGTGTTGACACTTTTCCATACTAGTTTTTTTACACCTACCATCAGTAGCAGACACTTGCTGTCCTTGCGGGCCCCACAGCAGCCCAGGAACCCCATCAGGACCAGCACGGCACCGATGGCGATGCAGAAAAAGCCAACGTTGACGAACTGCATGCCTTGGCTGGAGAAAGGCCCCAGCAGCTGGAGGAAGGAGCCCCCATCCACGCTCACCCAGATCCCCATAGCCAGCAAGGTCAAGCCGCCCAACTGCAGAATAATCAGGCAAACATATTCACAATAAATTAGTGCAAAAAAAACGATACAAGCACAAACTTCAAATCTGGAGTGTCGGACTTTGACGAATACAAGATGGGCTGTTACATTTTAGCCTTTGCCACACACCTCACACAATGCTGTCATCTGTATTTCCCAGTATACCCGTGTTGTGGTAACTTTAGACTAGAGCAACCATTCCAGAAACGTAGCTTCTGCCATACTCTGTTACTATGGCATGTTCCATATGGGGGATACTATCAATGCCAGAAAGGGGAGACAATATCTTTAAAAACGGCAAGTAAAATGTCCATCATTTGGGAGAGTTCAACAGCCCTTGAGGGGATAATGTGTTTTTGGAAATAAGAGGCCATCTTACATGGCTAACTCTGTCTTACTATTACCTCTCAGTGACACCATGTCACCTCAATATCGTTCACTCCATTCAGAGAGGATGATTCCTTTTGTGAGACAGAGAGGTGCCGCCTCGGGTCAACTTGGCCTATTTTTACTTTTCTAAATGAAATAACTGCCCTTTTACATGACTGCCTTTATCTCCCCTCATGTCACACAGGCATAATAGACAAAAAGCCATTTATTGATTTTCTTGTTTGAATTGCTGAATAAAGCCTTGAGGTGCATATAAGTAGGCTAAAGGATTACAGTATACACAGTCAAGGTGGTGTAAATCTCCTGTTCTCTAAAGACATGGATGTTTTATTTGTCAGGTCTGCAAGTTAGGAAATTAATGAGAAGAAGGACATGACTTCACATATGAAGAAGATGGACCTTTATTGATCCCCCGAAGGGGAAATTCAGTTTTGGAAATATGTAATCTCTATAAAAAAGATTGGCAGTATCGGTTACCAACAAGACATGATTTTGGCATCGGAAGCTTTCAGGGTTTTGGTTTGAAGTCCAAAAAGAATTTGCCATCATGTTTGCGCAAGCTTTTTATTAGTTAAAATTAGCTTGTAAACTGCCTACTTGTGAAACAAGTCTTGCATCATCTCTCAACTCCAACTTCTTATTTTCTTAAAGTTTAAAGGAACACAAATAATGAAGCCATGGCTTGGATATCTGTTAGATACACTTGAAAGAAGCTGATATTGCCTTTTTGGTTTGGAGATTGTGCCAATTGTAACCAGTATGTTATATACTAAATGTTTTGGTCTTGGCAGTTAAACAGAACCACATAACAACTGACTAAATACAATCAACCACACACTGGACGACAAGTATACTATGCCTAGAGTCATATCCCTGTGAATCGTGAGGAACAAAAAGCATAATTTTAAATATATAACCTTCATTTAAATCAGATGGTGGATTATGATGCTTATGTACCTAACAAAAACTCACACTACATGTTCTTGACATCCCTTTATAGAGTATGTAAAGTAGAGCAGGCATTACAACGGGATCACTGACGTGCATTCATAGAAATCCAAAACATGTGAAACCTGTTCATAACAAACAAAATCCAAACTATGTCACATGTTTCACATTACACTCTGTAAATCACCGGATCCCACTGTCATTATCTCGCTCTGTCTGCCTCTCCCTCCTCATCTCTCCACCTCTGACCTTCTCTTCCACCCTTTTATCCTCCTCCGTCTCCTCTGTATATTTCACCCTGAACTGCTCGTACTGAGTGATTTCTCGTCTTCGGCAGAAACCATGTTTGAAACCTGATATTGTCTGTCAGGCTCCATCTGGCTTGTTGCAGTCAGGGGGCCTCCGCTCCGCTTCAGGCCCCGACACGCCACATCTCCTGTCAGACGCTGACGTCTCCCACGTGGGGATCATCATTTTATTTGTCTCCCTACCTTGGCCTCGCTCTTTCCATCTATTTTTTACTCTCCAACAGCCTCTCCCCACCTTTCACTCCAGGGTTTCTTTTCTCGTCTCCTGAACCTGTTCAGTGCCATCATTGCCCAGTGCCATCATTGCCCTGTTGGCTAAATGTGATGCGACAAGCACACTCCCCCTCTTACTCCATATGTGCCACCATCATCCCTCACCAGGTATAATTATAGTTGGCACAATATCTTCCTTTTTTTTTTTAAATAGCTAATTCCTTTGATGGTGTGCCATATGCAGGTGGATGCCCTGTCAGTTGAACACCCACATGGCAAAAGCACTGGAAGTAAATCAGGTTTTTGAGAGAAGGGGAAAGAAGAAGCAGTGTCTTATCGTATTGAGATGGGAAACATAACCTATTAGGGTTAGAGGAGAGTGAATGAATAACAGGCTCCAGAATAAGAGGCCACGGCCTCCAGAGAGGGGGAGGTGAATGGAGAGATAGAAAGATACAGAGGGAGCAGAAAAGAGAACGGGCCTGTCCCACCCCAATTGAAATGGAATTGGTTCTCTTTCAATAGGATGGAATGAGAAAGACGTCAGTTGAGTTTAAAAACCATTTTCATGGGTCGTATTACCGAGAGCAGACAATCTGATTAAGATCCGACTCTCGGGCCACAGATCTGCACACACAGAGCATACATGGAGACACTTCTAATTCCCAATGCATTTTGATCGGCTCCAAGGCAGAGTCGAGATGTACACTTAGAACTAGAATCAAAGGGTTTATTTTTTGCGGACTTGCATCCTACTGTTTCTATCAACACTCAAATGGGTTTCTTAAGCTATGTCTTCACATATTCAAAAATGGCATTCAGTACCAGGATACTGTACAATTCGTTTTTTATGTTGATGACAGTTCAAATACAGCTCTCTTAACTCCTTAAAAGCAAATTGGTCCCAATTTTCTATTTTAATTTTGACAAAAGCTGTTTGGTCACCAAAGCACTTTTGGGTTGGCCGTAGGTGGAGGTCTCTTGGTGGTAAATGGTCAATGGACTTCATTTATATGGTGTTTATCCAGTCTTTACGACTCCTGAGCGGTTTACATTTACGAGTCATCGTTCACCCATTGGGGTGTGATTCATTCACACAGAGGCAGGGGCTGCCATGCAAGGTGCCACCAGCCCAAGGACGCCAACATTCACAAACATTCAAACACCATTTTCAGGAGCAACTTGTTGTTAAGTATCTTGCCCAACGATACATCAACATATTAAGTTCATGGTCTGGGATCTAATCCGCAACCTTCTGATTGAAAGACAACAGCACTACCGTCATCTAGAATCACAGCTTTTTTACTGAAAACCAAGGTTTTCAACATGTTTTCTGTCACAATTGTCAACTCTAAATGAATCAGCCCATTCAGATCACAAAGGGATTTTAAACAGAACTACTTCGCCTGAAGCTGGAGTCATTGGTTTAACTGCATTATTAAACAAACCTGTTTGTTTTAATTTAGTTTGTTTTTGATTTTAGTTTATGAAATTGATCTTATTTTATGTTTAAGTACAATTAACATGTGGTGTGACACCGTGAACTAGTGACCTATAAATCCGGAACTATGGTAGATTATTTTTCACTGTCAAATAGGTTTTACCACAATGTCAACAACTGTGGTTGGAGGTTTGGTTTTAGCACTTGCACAGATGACTGGTGTACGGTTACATTATGGGGTTCAGCTATTTTAAAGTTTATTTTAATACACTAATTATAGATTGACATGAAACATATGGAGCTATTATTTATGGCTACGGTAAAGGTTTCTTCATGTAATCACAGTTAGCAGCTTAACTTTATGCACAACTGACTTCTCTACTTAGCAAAGACAAACCATAACATTTTAATGTCAAGTTTTCAAAGTTAATGACCCAGATTTTCCGAAGAACATTAATTAATTTCCTCAAAAATAAAAATTCTCAGAATGCCGATGTGCCCCGAACACGATGACACGAAACTTGAAATACAGCCGAAGTATTTGAGCGGTCCCATTAAAGCATCGTTTTTTATGAGCAGCAGAGAATTATTTAATCAATTGTGCACTGCTGGCTAACATTTCAAACAGACATCATAATCAGTGCGCTGCTGTGACTTTTAAGAGCTGCTGCATCGGATTCATCAAGCAGCGTAACTCAGGCAGAAATTGGAAATGTGAGGAAAATGATGACTGGTGCTGGGAGCTTCATCTGTGACAGTGGGACTCCAGGTGGGCCCAACTCGGCGGGCAAATTCAGCTTACCCTCGCCAAAGTTTCTCTCCACTTCATAAACCACATTAGTTATCAACATTAAGCCGAAGATGAAGCTGGCAAAATGAGAGCCTTTGAAGTTAATGAGATGAAAATTGCTACGAAGAGGAACAAAAAGGAGCATCATGTATGGCTTCTGGCTGATCTGAAATGTTTGTGTAACGAATGTTTGCGTTGAAGGATGCTATGAAATGATTTTCTTCACATTGTGATGAAAGCTATTGTTTGTTTTTTTAATTCACACATGACTTTTCATCTCTCCCCAACCCCCTCCTCATATATGAGCATGCAATCAGAGCGCAAAAACATACTCACAAAGATAAGCAAGTTGAACAAGACCATCATCAATTTGACGAATGTGAAGAAGCCCATTTTAATCTGTAATAAAAGGAGAAGATAAATTATTGCATTTCCTCTTTCATCAGCCGAGACCTTTTATATCTCTCTCGCTCACACACACACACACACACACACACAGACGGTATATGGCCAATCTTCACATGCATGCTGTGCTATTACATCCAGCTCACATCCCAGAGAAATTACTGTGAAAATTACATCGCTGACAATGACTCTTAATGATAACTCACACACAGCTGTGAGAAACAGTAAAGATATCTTATAATGGGTGATCTTTGGAGAGGGAAAGCCATATTAGAGAGGAATGTGTTTACACGTGGTAGAGACATTAAGGCACAGAAAATGGTAAAGTGAAGTAATTAAAGTAAAAATATAATAATAGATCCATAAAAAAATCTTACCCTTTAGTGTGGTAATCTTTCTTAATATCCAAAGTAAAACCAATTTAAACACATTTAAAGTCCCTGGTTTCAGGAAAGCTGACCTTTTAAAAAGAAAATGAAAAAAAAAAAACCCCGCAATGAAACAAATAAGAAAAATAGTTTTCTGTTCCTGTGGCTCAGGTAGGAGGTTCCAGGCAGGTGAACTGTAAAGACTAATCTGTCTGAAAGATATCCGTAGAGTGATGATGGCCATGCAGGTGAAAGAATCTGATTTCAGAAATATGATAAGTGCCTCCTTTCAGGCGTGGTCCCTGAGGCATGAGGATACAGGTGACAGCAGGAGGAGTTGACCCTGACCCCTGCAGGTACACAGTGACACAGATGTAGAGCACAGGATCCCTTTCTCTGGGATTGGAATATAAAATAGATGGACGTGTACAATTTATCTGCTTTATATCGAAACATTAATAAAGGTCCCATTTGTCCGAAAATGTGCTATCCCGAAAAACGAACAAGGTCACATTACTCTGAAAAGTTCCCTACAACCAACAACACTTTGGATCAACAGGCATATGTCTTTGGGATTATGGGCTTTTTGAGTTTATGGGCTTTCTGTACAATACATGTAAGGATGCTGGTTCTGGGTGCTGTACAAGTTTCGTATAACGCTAGCAGCTTTGATATGCTCTGTATTGGATATAGGGGAATTTACACAATAACAACCCCAGGTATAACATGAGATAGAAATACGTTTGCAAGATATATCAAATTGTTGTTCAAATGTGTTTCCCCTACCATTGTCATGGAGGGGTGCTGCGCCCCGCCAACGGAGCCCCGCGCCCCCCCTGAAATTCAAGGTGTTTAAAAAAAAAAATTATACTTATTCTTTTTTATATATATATATATATATAGCACCAAATTGCAACTAATCTATATCTACTGTCACTTTTCACATGAACATGTGCTCTTTTTTAAAATAAACTAAACGCTTTCATTTTAAGTTGTGAGTTTAGTGTTTTTGACCCTAAGAAACACTGATGCAGTAATCAATAACAATAATCCACAGCTCCTCTCTCTGCTCCAGAGGATTGAAAAAATATGTATCCCAATGCAATGTGAACAGCTTAACCACAGTTACCACAATATTGACATGAAGTTACTGAATAGTACAAAATATTTGAGGATAAAACACAACATCCAACTTATATTTCTTCCTTTACACTCATACAATCCCAAACCACTGCAGCAGCACCCACTTTGGCCATCTGCCTCTCTCCTTTGGCTGTGTTGCTGCTTTATGCTGTTGACTCTATTGTTCCTCTCTCCTTCCTTTGTTCCTATAGCCCCTGAACACTGCAGTGGCCCCTGCTGACCGACAGAGGGGAGTAGTGAATTACAGAGAGCCCCCTCTCATCATTGTTGTCCTGCAGCTTCAACTGGTGATGAGTGTTTCCCTGAGTGGAGGAATTTGCTTTTCTTTGTCCAGGAAGCCAGGAGTGAAAAGAAGTAAAACCTCAAATAAAATGTTCTCTGTGTCTATTTGGCATCACCACTTCGGGATGCTGCCAATTCAGTTGTGAAATTGAGTTCCAATTCAAATCCAACCAATTTAGATAAAATCAGGGTAAGGGTTACCAAAATAAAGCTGTAGCTAAAAACTTCATGACAGATCTTTTTTATGGTTTGGCAGTTCTGCATCCTTACACCGGTGTTTTATGGTTGAATGCAGCAGCAGGAGCCAACAGTGTTTCCCTTTGTCTCATCACATGTTTCTTCCTAAGATTCTTCTAGAGCCCATTTATATAGAGCTGCAGGCAAAAGAAAAAACTCCTTGAAAAATGGCAAAAGCCCTCCGACCGATGCCACCTTGTTGGGGAGTTGAGCCCATATCAGCCGAAGTCTTTCTCAGTAATATCCCTTTAATGGCCCCATTTTGAGTTATGACAATCTCACCCACACCGTCATTAACCCACCGGTCCTTAATCTCAGCAAGAGGACCACCCGTCAGGCTTCGTTATCCATTAAACCGTTAATAATCTCTGCCAGCGTCCGCGCACGCACACACTGTCACCGTGGTGCTTGGAGAATGAAATGATCAGATGTGTGCTTTTTCACCTCTGATGAAAGCAGTGACGGGCTGTGGATATCTTGGGTGAGATGGGGAAGGTAAAAAACAAAGGGTCCCTTAATGAGGTCGGTCAGATTGAGTATTATCAGTGGCCCCCCCAGGGCAGCTGCCACAGCTATGCATACTGCTGCTGGGGGCTGCTGCTATTACATGTATACCTTGTAGATCCCAAGTGAGCATTGATTAATCCGGTAACCTGATTTTAAGGTTGATAAAATATCATCCTGCTCGAGCTCGGCAGCGTTAATGGTCCGACTGCTCATTAAAAGCTCCTAGACACCTTGATAAAGTTCTGTGTCTCATGGTGATCAGCCTGGAAATGATGAATACTTTTAGTTTGACACGCGGTTGCTACAATTTGTTGTTGAAACACGGAAATGTCTTATAACTAGACACAGAAAAATGTCTTAAAATTAGTCATAGGGAATGGGTTTGATAAATTGATAATGCCAGAGATGTCAACGTCAACGCTTGTGATTCATCTGAAAACCTTAGCGTGTTAAGAAAAAGTGATGGAAATTAATTACATTTCGAAGTTTGACTCCAACTTCCTACGGATTTTTACCATGAATTGCATGGCAGTGAAAAGGCAAAGAAAGCAGAGGAATTGGCACAAGCTACATGTATTGAATGGTAAATGGACTGTACTTATATACTTAGCAGGTCTTTTCGACCCCTCAAAGTGCTTTACATACGAGTCATTCATCCATTATTCATGGTGAGCTAACATTCATACACATACCGCCATCAGGAGTTAAGTATCTTGCTAAAGGAAACATCAACATGTTGACTGCACGGGCTGGGATCGAACCCACAGCCTTCTGGTTGAAAGACAACTGCACTCCCTCGCAGCCACAGGTACCCTATTGAACTGACAGGAGACCATTCAACATCAGTAAGCAGCAATAACATAACATTTTTTACTTTATTCTAACTCCTAACCCTAACTACTAACTACCCAGAATAGTTTTGATAATTTCGGAATGATTGGCATCGAACAATTTTCCCACACTTAGCCAAAGCCTCGTCAAACCTGCTGTCACAGAGAGCCACTGTGATTGCCCTCTGTATAATTTGCACTACACAGGGCATATGCTCATATGATGGTATTCTTACGGACCGTCTACACAGCAGCATTAAAAAAATCTTGAAACGCTTCTGCCCATTCACTTTGAATGGGGTGACGTCACTTTCCCTCACTTTTCGCCGAAATGGATTGTGGGCAGGCGAGCGGAGATTTTGAGGATTTTGAGGATTCAAAGTTGAACAATGTTCAACTTTTGAGGCTGAGGTGGAAGCATCAGCCAATCAAATCCCGTGTACGCAAATCTGACAGTTCAAGCTCTAGCCAATCAAACGGCGTGTATGCTGGGAGAGACACCGCAGGTCATTTCCTCATATTCCAAAAAATGGAGGAGAAATTAGCGGTAGCGAATCAATCACCCGGTGCTTTATGACCAGACCTACCGGGATATAAACCGGAGGAGCCAGGCATGGAGGGAGGTGGCAGAGACAGTGGTAGGTTTTCGCCTGTTTTGGGGAGTTTATATCCAGTTTACTTCGGGCTTTTTTGCTTCGTATGTCGCGGGCGGGAGATTCATGTGATTGGTTGCTCGCAAAAAATCCTCAAGCTTCAGATACGCCCACCTCCAAGATTTTTTTAACGCTGCTGTGTAGACGTACCGTTACTGCTGCTATCATACTATTCTGTCACTACAGTGGTGAGCCAATCCGCTATCTCCAACTTCTAGAAACTGGCGCAAGCTTGAGCAAAATGACTTTCCTTCGTTTTCTATCGTGATTTAGTGCATTTGCCATTGATTAGGTGTTCCGTTACACGAGGTAGATTCCTCCCACCAGTTTGTCATCAATTTCTTTATTACAGCACCACACATGAATACTAATATTTCAAATTTGTGATAAACCTTTATTGCATTTTCGTCATTAACGCTAAATGTTTTTAATTGATTGACACCACTAATTAGTACCATAAAAGTACACATGCGTAATTAAAATGACTGAATTGTCATATAAATATAGTTGCTTGAGATTCATAATTCATAATTAAAGTTTTTGAATATGTTATGAATGACTATTTTCAAGGCATTTGTACTACCTGTTATTCATACTGACAGTGATAGAAGAGAGGAAATGAGGAAGAGAGATGGGGAATGACATGCAACACAGGTCCCCAGACGGCTTTAACAGGGGACGTTACGGTTCATGGTTGGGCACCTTACATCCCTTGGTTAACAGGGTGCAACGTGCTTTGAAACGTTCAAAGGGCATCACTCACTGCTGGCCTATGATAGAAAAACATCATTACCCCACATTGTAAGCCCACATACAAGTACTATGTCCAGCGTTGACTCTTAGTCCTTCCAGTAAACGTTTTAATTTGCTCCATCTTGAATTCTATCAGTTCTGTCTAGAGAATACTAGTAATCAAAGACTTGACACTAGCTAGCTAGAGTCAATTGTCCTGTTGCTGTCATCTAAAAAATGCATCAATGGTTTTGACTAATGTGTTTTGGAAGAAAACATAATTATGTTCACTGGCAGTTTTTCTTTTCAGTTCTCAAAGTGCTGTTTAGTTGTGTCACACATAATTCCTTGCTTCTGGTTTTGGAAGGATTGTTGATGTTTTATTGTTGACCAATTGATACTTCCCCCAAACTCAACTAAGATATTTGAATTTCTGCTTAAATATTAATGATGCCGGTATTGCCACAAGGAAACTCAAAGAAATTGTTTCAGTATTACCATTTTATTCCATTGAACACACTTTAAAAACATTTCCCTATTAGTTTAAAAAAAAAAAGATAGGATGAAATTCCAGGAGTTTTTATTTTTTATTTAGCAATGTCAGTAAACAAGGATTTACAAAACTGAAATACAAATAACTTTTCAAAGGATTTAGGGGACTTATTTGTACTTTAAAAGCAGAAATCACTACTTTGCCGGCAACATATGTTAAAGGTTTCCCTATGACTTTGAAACCATTACATTATAGTTTATTTGTGCTGAAAGTAAAACTGCTCAGTTGTTTCTCTTAGTTCTTTCCTGAAATGTTGACATTGTGGAGATTCATTTTTTTTCACCTGAACATAATACAATGCTGGAGGCGGTGTGGTGTGTGTGTGTGTGTGTGTGTGTGTGTGTGTGTGTGTGTGTGTGTGTGTGTGTGTGTGTGTGTGTGTGTGTGTGTGTGTGTGTGTGTGTGTGTGTGTGTGTGTGTGTGTGTGTGTGTGTGTGTGGTGTGTGTGTGTGTGTGTGTGTGTGTGTAGTGTGTGTGTGTGT